ATTGCCAAGGAGTTATGGCAGCGTTCTTCCGTATTACCGTTTTGTGAGGGACACCATTAGGGAATCAATAAATAATGAGGTACGTGTAGTGGTGCCATTAACAAGATTGTTTATTTAGTATTAAGTATTGTTAGGTGTGTTTATAATAATTAAATGGTTTAATTAATGATTTGGGTAGATTTCTAGTAGAAAAATAAAACATCCCGTGCATGCCTGAAACCAATATTGTTCCGCTGCCAATTACTTTCGGTCCAAATAATCCATTGTGGCGGCGAGATGTCAGTATTATTGTCATTTTTCTATAGAATTGGTGCTGGTTGCGTTTTTTTATTTATGACATTTCATAACATAGCAATTAGGTAATAGGGAATCGTGTGTTAGCTTTACATATGGGTAATAAATAATCTATATAAAGATAACGCACCAAATTCTTCCGTTGAAATATACTAAGTATTCACTGTTGTATGAATAAACATTGTTGCATCTCTAAGGTCGTGTTAATGTGTACCTAGGATATCTGATAAATATACCTTTATACAGTAAATATTGACTATATTAATAAAGCTGATTTCGTGCTAATTTCACTACTGTTTCTAGAGGAAGGCGGTCGAAACTGCCAGACCCAGTTGGTAATTTATAACAGCAAACATCTTTATCCTTAAACAAACTTTGAGTTTGCCGTACATAAATTATTGGGGCTACTTAGCCCTGTTACGAGATTAACGGAAGCATTATGGTGTAAGATTTTGTAGAGAAGAGATCATGGATTAGAGATAGAAGTGTGTAAAGTGAAATGCTTCGTGTATCGTCTATCAAACGGACGTTTAAGGTTTTTTATATGTTATTTTGTTCGTTTTTGTTATAATTACTCAATTTCAATTTCAAAAATTCACAAAAATTTATAGTGCTACATATCCAGTGTACATTATTTCCTGGAATGTAACAAACTTTCAACTAGACACGTTTTTACAGCCTTTTTTTAAAATCTTATAAAATAGATAAAACTAAAGTTATAATGTTTCGAAAGGTTTTAGCGATAACAAACTGTATATTTTAACAATGAGGTAAACTACCTGGTAATTATACAATCTTTAGATTGAATAATTACCAGAATCTGCCTAAATTGAATAACTAAATATAGTTGTAACAATAAATGGGGTAGCACCGAGAAGAAAAGAGTGGACGGCAAGCAATCACAATAGGAACAGTCACCCAGCATATTTCACGCAACGCACGCGCATTCCAGCTCTATATATATTAATAATAAGAGCTTGGCCACAGTTTCTGGCGGTGTGGAGCGCGGCGCGGCAAGAGGGTCTGCGAGAGGCGCGGTTTGCGGTGGTATGCCACAGCTCGACCAGTTGCGACCGCGGCGCCAATATTTAGAGTATATTAGTTAGTTTTATTAGTCGTCCCACAATTTTTTTTATAACATGCCTATATTTATGATGTGGATGTTTTGACATCCATATTGCTGGTCTACTCAGTATTTCACTAATAAATTGTTTTGTATCCATTATTTTATATGAGCTCAATGCGCGATAAAAACAAAATTATTTGTTTTGGTCGCGCGATGCTAAATGCGTCCACCAATGCCGCGGCGCGCGCCGCTCTTAGCTGTGGCCGCCTCGATACTCTTGAGTGCATTTGATTCACTCGCACGCCGCGCAGACCCCCGCCGCCGCCACCGCGCGGGTGCCACCGCGCCGCAGGTCGCACCGCAATGCGCGTCGCCGATAGCTGTGGCATACTTCATACAATTTTCTCAATTTGTTTTTGCCGCTCGCCGCTTTGCGCGCCGCTTTGCGCGCCGCTTTGCGCGCCGCAAACCGCGCCGCAGGTGACTGTGGCCAAGGGGTAAGGCCGGAGGTCGCTCGCGACGCGATGGCCAACACTCACGCACCTGCGCGGCCCACTGTCAACCTGTTATTCATCACACTCAAGAAACAAGTGATGGGGTAATTTGTATCTGTTGTATTTTTCGATCTAAGATAAATTTTTCTTCCGCGTTTTACAAAGGTTAATAAGTATTTTTACTTGTCGGTTGTTATGTAAATATAATTTTTTGGATAATTTGAATATAAACTCATAAATAGTGGGAAACTTAATTTTAATGTGTAATTTTTGGAGGTTTGTTCGAAACGGAGTATTAAATGCATATTTCAATGCTTTGTTTTGTACAACTTGTAAGCTTTTTAAGTTAGTAGGGCACGTACTGCTGCCATACTGGGCAGGCATAGGATATGCAGGGTCGTACTAAGGTTCGATATACACTTAGGTTTGTTTACTGAGGCACGATCTTCTATTTAAGATGGGGCTCAGTGCATTCAAAGCCTCCATGCTCTTGAGCCTGATGTGTTGAGTGTTACGGATCCAGTTGGGTTTGTTGTCTTGTTATAATTTCTACTAATTTGTCCCAAAGTTAGTTTTGCCTCCGAGGCAAGAAACGCGGTCTTCCGACGCTCTTGTGCCACGGTATCTTTTCGGCGATATTTGGTCTGTCCGATGCCCCTTTTATATCCTCTCCCAATCTCTCAAGATAGTCCAGCGAAGTCAATTGGCTTTGTTTTACGCCATGGTGGTGGGTTGGGGTACCATCTCTTCATTTCTTCTGATACTCTAATTTCTATCTTTCTTTTTTAAGGTCCTATTATTATTTTGTTATTAACTTTTTATTGAATGTCCTTTAACACTTGGGGTATTCTTTTTAAGCTAACTAACGAAACCAATATATGCCTGGCATTAAATCCAACATCATCGTTTAAGCTAACCAATTATTAAAATCAAAGCGGAAGACTAAAAAACTTAATAATACGCTTATCAAAAGTTGACAGCTACAATTCTGATTTTCGTGATAGTTTATTAAAAAATGAATGGCAATGGACACAGATTATTTCAATATTTAGTTGTATGTATTATAAATTATCTAGCATTTAAAATATTAAATTTTTTATGTATCACATTCTTAAATAATGTCTCAGTGTTTCCTGGTAAGCGATATTCTCATCTCTGACCCGTTTCAATCAAGTTTGTGAGATGTATTTAATAATACACCACACGCATTTTATTTTGAACCTTCAAAAATATATGCATGTGGCCATCGCAGTCCGCAACAATTGAACTTATTAACTAATTTAATTTTAGGTGAAACAATTAAACCTTCAAAATTTTACGTCTAATGTTGAATTCATCCTTGCAAAGCCGTTTATTATTAATCACTGCATCGGGATAGTGTTAATAATAAGAAGCGGATAATTTAGGAGTAAAAAGGAGGGGTATGTGTGAACCTATGTCTAACTTGTATTGCTTTATGTCAGGAGTCATAGTCACGAGTCGTTAGTCTCCACTCCGAATTTTAGAATAGTAACTAGCTGCCCCCGCGAACATTTTGCTATGCTACCCCAGAGACTGTTCGGTTTTCCGGAATGAAAACTTTTTAGGTTGTTCTGTGAATTGAATGTGAAACCTCAGAGTACATGTCATAAGTTTTTAATAAAAAAATAGGGGTTAATCGTGAAAATTAAGGGTTGTATGTATTTTTGTAGGTTCCTAAAAAAAAAACTTTTTTAAGGTGGTCACCCCTTATCAGGGGTTTGAAATATAGATAGTAGCCGATTCTCAGACTTACTGAATATGCATAAAACATTTCATAAGTATCGGTCGAGCCGTTTCGGAGGAGTATGGGCACGAACATTGTGACACGAGAATTTTATATATATAGAGATAATAGTAGAGAAGTAAAATTGTTTTGCGTATACCGTTTACTAAATTAAATACTATACAGTATATTTTCGTCTAAATACTCGCGTTAATATAGTAATAGGGCGTTTATAGCTGTGTGGATTATCAGGATAAATTAACTGTCCGAGCTCAGCATGACTGGGCAGTAATCAATCCTGACAGACCGTTATTCTTTTTGCCTCGTTGCACCTCGGATCTTCAACTTCGCTGCTATATTTTTAAACCTATAGACAAGATGTTGTATTGTTATGTAAAGTTATTTTTAATCGTTGAATAAACATGTATAAACTTTTATATTCGAATTTTTTGACCTTACCGGGCCCTTAAGGAAGTTAATACATAGTTAACATTTGAATCTTTGACATTTCAAGGAAAATTACTTAATGGTTTACTAACGGAATGCTTGATTATAATTTGATTCGATAAAAAAAAAGATTCACTTAAGCGTTAGGACTTAGGAGCGTTCTAACGTATTCGCACGTAACGAATTTTGAGGGGGATGTTCTTTTGTAAAACGTTACGATGCGGGGCTTGGATTGAATTACGCGTTATTGTTAATATTATTTTCGACTTTCCAGTACTTTACACCACATAATCGTGACTTTTAGGTATAAAGAGTCACTAGGTCACGAAACGTTTTATACTTGGGTACAGTACTTTACTTGGGTACAGAAAAATATTACGGCGGGTTACAAGTCAATAATCTCCAAAAATTGCGTTACGTAATACTTGAACACTCCCTTAAACACTGTTTATTTAAAGCCGTCTAAATTAGACCATATATCAAGCTTACAACGCAACGTGTTGTTTACATTTTCAATTGAATAGTTTGCACGTTTAATTTAGAAGCAAGAAATAAAAACAGCAGGGGAACTAATTGCGGTATCGGAGGGGAGGGTGTATGTCCGGTGGTATCCACGGCGAGTGGCCGGCAGTCGGCTCATCGCGCGGTGTAACTTGTGACTGGTCATTCAGCAACATGGTGCCCTCGGAGCGAGCCGCGCAATGTACCGCCACCGCGATCCTTCATCGCATCTCTATGCGTACTTACAACACGTATTCTCTAGTACGTATCCCCTCGCATTCATTCATCGCCCGCCTTACGCCCGCCCTGAGACGCGCTCTAAATAGTATCCGCCCATCGGTATCACTCGAGACGAGTCGTGTTTCCCGCGGGACTTAGTCACTGTCCACGTCTCTCGCTAATCTGTCACGGAACGCGTGCACCCATAAATTATTATGCGGACATTCGAACCACTATGTTTCGTCCGCAGTTTTCAAATAAAAGTGATAATGATTATGTTCATATACGGTGTCTCATTGCTAATATACATAAACCACGAAATGTGTCTAGGCCGCCCGAGTCTTCAGATTCGGTTCTGGAGACCGTCTTGGAAGCGAACTCTTCGGACAGGGAGTCCAGCCCGTCGGGATCAGAAAAGTCCGATAGATCATTGAGATCGGACAATTCTGACGTAGCTGAAATATGTAAAATAGAAGAACCCACCAAAATACGAGCGAAGAGTAATAGCATTGCAGGTGCAACTCTAATGCCACCGTCGATGCACAACAAAAAGCGTCGGCCATCGTTCCTTCACCTGCACGTCGGTGGACACCACGAGAACATCGGTCCGTTGTCTGCGGGTGCGCAGTTCAACGTGCCGCGTTTCACCGTGACGGCGCCTCCGGGTGAAGGAAGGCGCCTTAGCCATGGATTCCCTTTCCATGGCTTCGCGCTCCGTCGACACTCTAATATGGTCTGCACCAGGATATATAGCCGGTGTGAAAGTTTTGCAGTTCACGATATAACAATGCATTTTAGGCTGAGTTTACTAACTTGTGAGGCATGATTTGTAGGCGAAGACTAAATCTAGTTGTATCCCACCCACTAAATGCGGTAACAATCGAGAAAAAAAAATTGAATCATAATTATTCGTATGAGATTAAAATAAGAAGAACTTTGTTTCGCAGAATGTGTTCGACGTTTAATCCCTCGTACCACAATAATTTATTAGAATATCCTTGTTATCTCTTATCACAATGTCTATAGGTATGTGGTGTTCATTACTAGCTTTGTGGGTTGTGCCGTGCAAACGTGTATTCTTTTTGCATCGAATTATTATATGAAAAGTGTTTTTACGGAATGCTACGTCGGAGTTTGCAAGTTGTTGAGGTTGTGTTTACCATATAACCCTCTGAACTAATGTTTTATTAATCAAGTCTTGTTTGTTTGTCCGTTTGTTAAAGGTTGTCGAAGTGGCATGTTGCTTGTGCTATGGAGTATACCAATCCACCATAACCGCTAACAAAACATAATGAAATAATATGTACAATTGAAGTTTGCTATTTGTTATCTCTTATCAGTGTATTTTTCTCTATTTTAATTTAGATATAAATTTTATAACTGTATTTTAAAATGATATCACTAAGACAATGCGATTGGAATATTTTAAATGTATAACTTGAAAAGTGACATTGAATGTAATTAGTAACGTCTCCAAACAATTGTTTGGTCACGACTTGTGTTTGATTTTGGTTTCCGTGTTTGCAGAGCCTTCATCGCAGCGAGTCGATGGTGTCTCTGGCCTGCTTCAAGACGCTCTCACAGCTCGTAAACAATGATACCAACGAGCTGCAGAACTACCTTGCGGCCAATAAAAACATCAATGTCGATGACAGGGATGAGGTATATATTAACATAATAATAATTAAAGAAATGTGGGACTTTTCAAGTACATATAAATTAGAATTGTTATATTCCCCCAGAGTCCAGACACGAAAAGGTCCTTTTTGTGTCAGGATTCCAAGCTTTCCATAACCAACATTTTCTTAAAGGACTTATACTGTTTGCGAAGGAGGCAGATCTTCTCAACCAGGGTCTACGTTGTCCCCTCTTTTACGTAATAAAGTATAACGATTTTAAATACCTATAATCGATTAATCGATATCAATACTATTAAAATTCTGAGTAAACACTCGGTTTAACACAGTTTGTTTGGTTTGGTTATCAAACGACACGTTCATATATTATTTTTATGCTAGTAAATATCTTTATAAAGGCTGTAGGATATATCACGAATGGATGCAGGACACACACACACACACAGCTAGTCTAGTAAAAATAAAGTCTGTCGCATCACAGAACATGTCCACGTGGGAGATGTAAATACTTATTCACACAATACAAAGTAAATTTAGTTCGACCATTTATTAATAAGATAAACAGTATAATCTTTCTTCCAATACTATCTATAAACTTTAATTTCATCCAGTGATATAATAAAAACGTGTGTGTACTTATGTACACACGTTAGAAGTTATACTTCTTTGACGTAACAAGATAAAAATCTTTTCAAAAATGTTATTATATGTTAACTAAAATGTTGACTATAGCTCACTTCAGGGTGTCGGTTTTTTGGGACGGTGTGCACGCGCATCTTAAAAATTTACTCACACTTTTCCCCACCGCGCCTAAAGAAATATAACTTCAAAAACCACATTTAAATCTAACCTATATTTTTCTGACAGAATGGCACAACAGCGCTCATGTGCGCAAGCGAGAAGGGGCGAGTTGAAGCGGTACGGTTGCTTATCGGTGCGGGCGCGGACGCGTGCGCTGCGGACGTGGACGGGTGGACACCGCTCGCATTCGCTGCAAGGGCGGGACACCTCAACGTTGTAAAGGAGTTGGTGGAGGCCAGCGTGACTATTGACTCGAGGGATTGTGTGAGTTTTTACTTAGCCGTGGGGCAGTTGTATTGTAAAAAAAAGTTTTTTTTTGTAAAAAACGCTTGTAGAAGGTTCAAATCTGGGAGACAAAACATTTGAAGACGCGGGAATATGCCTTGCTACCATTGATTTAGATCCTTAAGTAACAATGGCTAAAATAGTTTGAATTTTATGTGGCGATTTACGCTAAATGAGGAAAAGGCTACATTCATCAATATCGAAATGATAAATAAAATTGCTGCTTACGCCTAATATGAAATCAAAGCATGATCCTTTGTAAAATACATCCTAACGCAAAGTCATAAAGACGCTAATGCCATGATAATAAAAATAAGCTTGCTTATGGTCTTTGTATGCACTCAGATACTCCCAGATCTCTGTCTCTTATAGAAAAGAAAGTGCACGACAGCGCGAAAAGTTAGTAATCAACTATGAATTGAATAAATTGAATTCCAAAGCCGTTGAAGCAGTGTTGGCCTAGTGGATTCAGCGTGTGCCTCTCATCCTTGAGTTCGTAGGTTCCCGGCTGTGAATCAATTGACTTTCTATCTATGTGCGAAAACATAGTGACCGGCTTGCCTTAGACCAAAAACGCCGTGTGACATGCACATGAGGCTGATCACCTACTTGCCTAGATTTACAAATGATCATGAAACAGAAGTCTGAGGCCCAGACCTAAAGAGGTAGCGCCACAGATGGATACGTGAAGGGGCTAATCGATCCCATTGTGACCTAAATAATAATAGAGCAATAACCAAACTGTTCTCTGGACTGTGCAGTTTGTATTTATAATTAAGATGGAGCTATGCCAAGAGATCAGTGACATCCACGCATTCTTAAATATCCATACAAACTAAACAGACCCTTTTCATAAACAACATATATTTAGAACAATGGAATTATTTATAGGCTGTATATAATTAGACTTTTTGTAAACATTTTTATAAATACAGTCAAAACCGTTTACGACGACATCGTTTAGACAAAGATACCGGTTATATTGACCAAAATCAAAGGTCCCGGCTGAATTCTATGTATTAGGTACTTAATAACAACGTCATCGGTTACGACTATCGGTTTTTACGACCAAATATGAGCAGTCCCTTCGATGTCGTTATAATATTTTGACTGTGTATATATGCACGAAAATACATAAATTTTCCTTTTTCCAATCCGATAATATCGAAAGAAAATTAATAGAAACATAATACAAATATTCAATATTAAATACTTAATATACACAATATCGCTACTATGCACTTACTCTGCGAACTTATAAAGGTGTCGATAGTGTCGGAGTCAGCATTCAGTAAGCAATGTCTTTGTTAATCTGTGCAACAGACTGGTTCTGGCCCTTGGTATCGCAAACAATCATGGCGTTCGCCGTCGTACATATCTGTTTTTTTTTTTAAAGACAATTCACACCAATTGACCTAGTCCCATGCTAAGCTGGTGAAGCTTGTGTTATGGGTACTAGGCAACGGATATACATACATTTTATAGATAGATAGAGATATAAATACATATTTAAACACCCAAGACCTAAGCACAACACCAAATGCTCATCACATCGATGTTCGTCTCAGCCGGGGATCGAACCCGGGACCCATGAATTCGCAGTCAGGAGTACTAACCACTAGACCAATGAATCTCCTACAATGAAATCGAGTTCTTGCAGAACACTTGGGTTGCTCACCACACCGCAAGACAATAAGTATATAGTAGGCCAACTGTCAAATGTAGGCCTTCTTGTTTCTAGTTTGGACCCTATCATCCCTAAGACAAATAATGTTGGGTACAGTAAAGGATAGTAGGGATAGACGCCATACAGTCTGTAATATTACTATTACTACCAAACTTATAAATAGTTACACATGCTCTATTTAGTTTTTTTTACAGGGTAACTGGACACCTCTTATGTGGGCATCGTACAAGGGGCATGAAGAGATTGTAGCGTTGTTACTAGAGAAGGGAGCCGATGTGCATGCGCATGGAAACTATAATATAAAGTAAGTTATTATTTCTAAGGATAGTTAATTGGGCAATTGATAGTCTGACAGAAATACTTCAGCGACGTCTTATAAAATCTAATAGTTAACCTAGTCTAGAACCGGCTTATAAACAAATGTGAGTGCTAAAGAGAACTAATTTTTATTCCATTATTCTATATTGAGTAGAATATGTTCATTAAAATGCTTTGATTGGTATATATGTCCATGTGTTTGTTATGTTTGCTTGTCACATTAAATCTTGTACCAATTTGAGGCGAGCGTTGGCAAGCTTTTATATTAGGTCCTTACATATGAAATTGGCGTTTAATCGTTCGGGCCACTTCGCACTCAAATATCTCCTCTTTGGTTAGGAATTCCAAATTCAATTTTACACCTATTTACTTGTACGTTTTTTTCGAAAACCATAATTTATTGCATTTTTCGAAACCGCATTCAAAGATTGTATTAATTCCCATCCGAAATGTTTTAGGTTAATAAAAGGATCAATAAGATGGAAAAAGTGTTTAGATATCATTGGTACATACTTTGATTAATTAAATATATTCTATTTAAAAAAATCTACTTTATGTTCCTCCCATACAAAGCGCTAATTTAATATGTAGGGACCTAATATATAAATGAATATTCATATCGTTCAGGTATATATTAAGCGTGGTTTAAACCGCTTTATGTTCAAATTTCTAGATGTTTTCTTAGCCGATTTTATTAATACTTCCATAGGAATCATTAGTTTATACAGTCTATAGAAAAATGCGCAAAAATTGTGTTTAGCATACGGCAAACCTTTTTTAAGCGAATCTGAAGGTTAACGCGAATCTCCGAAATGTGAACGGATTTCCTTGTCATACAGACTAATTAAGTGCAATTTGTATTGTTTAGCATAATTATTTATGCTTTATTTGTAACCGGACGGAAGAGAAATTAATGAACAGCCCAGGGACTAAGATCTCGGGGGCGTCGTTGGTCTTTTAAAGGATATAACATAACTATTGTAACACAGATTGTTATCATTAATTAAAACTCTTATCATTGATAGCCCTATCTATAACATCCTAATGTTATGAAGTTTTATCGCGTTTTATCTTTACTACGACCAAAAAGGTTTTATATTATTTTAATGGCAAAGAGTAGAGAACAATATCAAAATAAATATCTAGTATAATCTGTGTTGATCCAATTGAAGACTTTCCATTCATATCTATACTGGATCACAGCCAGATCTTGTCTATGTATTAATCGAAACATTTGTTTCTCATTACTCTAATATCATCAGCAAATTTAATCTCGTGATAACGAATCCCTTATCTTAATCTCTTTTATGCTATTTCCACTGTTTGGTAACCGCGCTTGGGTTACGAGAGAAAATATTTGTCTTGTTGTGAAATGAATTTAGAACAGAAAATCCTAGAATAGAAGTTTTCGCTTATGTTAGGTATCAGTGTCTGGCATGACGAACATATATTTTAGATACATTTGTATAGTTCACTATATAATGTTGCCTCAATTTCCATACGAAATACTGTTTAATATATTCCGTTATTGTTCTTACTGTAATACCTAAAATTATTAAAAGCTGTTTTACTAATTATAAAGAAGAGTGATAGGCTAGACGCACGGCAAATTACGAATAATGATATGACCTCCAATTGTTCAAAGTAAGAGTATACTCTCAAAGGCCGGCAACGCACCCACTAAAAATGGGTGTCCATGAGCTGCGACGTCTGCCCTTTAGCGCCCCGTAAGCCCGTTTACTCTCCACACTAAGGAATGATCCTTTCGAGTTGCGTCCCATATTATTGGATGTGCTTGATAAAGTTTAATAAATTCTATTACTTTTTTATTTGTCCATGCCGGTGGCGATTTTGTGGATGAGGAAGCCATTCTCGCTCGACGTACGCACTCGCTGCGTGTTGTAACAGAACTGAGCTAAGCGCCAACGTATGGACAGATCGCGAGCGTTGGCGCACATTCCTTTGATGAAACCGACACGAGCCGGCCAACTACCAACACTCGCCCCAACGTTGGGACCAATGCCATTTTCTAGATCCACACGTTGGACGAATAGCGTTGGGGCCAATATTGGGGCCAACGTGTGGAGCCGGCTTTAAGTTCTGTCGTTTCCATATTTCCCGGCAATTTTGAATTTGGACCTGTTCTATATTCGAATGTGTTTCAATTTTGAATCTCAAAACAGTTGAAAGTATTAGGATTAATGCTATTGTTTAGTCACAGCGTCGATTTGAATCTGTGTCAGGTTACGTACGAAAATGAATCTTTCTAAGGAAAATGTTAGTGCAATAATTTTCTACAACTTTAGAAGAGGCCTGACACGGCTTCATTTTTTTGAAGAGCTAATATCTGTGTTCAGTGATGAAGCCCCATGTCTGCGGACTGTCGAACGCTGGTATTTAGAATTCCAGCGTGGACATACTAGTGTTAGTGACAAATCTCGCGAAGGACGCCCAAAATCCGCCTTCACTGAAGAAAACATCATTGCTGTGAGACAACTAATTCTCGAAGATCGTCATGTGACGTATCGAGAGATAGAGGCTATATTAGGCATCTCAGGGACAACCATTCAGAAGATCTTGCATGAAGCGCTTGGTGTGAAAAAGCTAGTTTGCCGTTGGATACCGCATCCGCTTTCCGACGATCACAAGGCAGCCCGCGTCAGATGGTGTAAGAAAACTCTGCAAAGGTTCAACCGAAGAGAGTCAAATCACGTCTACGACATCATCAGTGGTGGCGAATCTTGGATCTATGCCTACGATCCTGATTCCATACAACAATCTACAATCTGGGTCTTTCAAGACGAGCCAAAGCCGACTAAACTCGTTCGTTCTCGAAGCACTTCAAAGAAGATGGTGGCCACGTTCCTTGGAAAAACCGGCCATCTTGCGACTATTGCACTTGAAGATCGTAGAACGGTTAACGCAGAGTGGTATACCACAGTTTGTTTACCACAAATCATCGCCAAACATCGAAAATCTATCTCAAAGCGACGCATCATCCTGCACCACGACAACGCAAGCTCACACAGCGCTCGTCAAACAATTCAGTATTTGAAGCAGGAAAAAGTATAAATTCTTGACCATCCTCCATACAGTCCTGACCTAAGCCCTAACGATTTCTTTACATTTCCAAAATTAAGAAAAGTCTTCGTGGTCAAAGGTTCCAGTCCGGTGAAGAAGCAGTCGACGCTTTCAAGTCAGCCATTTTGAACACCTCCACTTTAGAGTGGAATAAATGTTATAATAACTGGTTTGAGCGAATGGAAAAGTGTATTAAGCTACGTGGTGAATACTTTGAAAAACAATAAAAAGTACTATAAGGTGCTAGTTGTGTTTTTTTCTGCAAACGACAAAACTTAAGGCATGCCTCGTAGCGTAGGATAATAATAAACATAACCTCATTTTTACACCATCACACAACACACCCGAATTAGGTATTACTTTGGTAAATGTATTGAATAAATTTTATTGATTTTTTTTTCTCTTGTAAATGTTTTAACCTTTTTGTAAATATTGTGTTTGGTATAAAAAATGTGTTTATTCATTTTAAGTACATACACATTTTCCCGTATCACCTCGACGTCCGACGTTCCACAACTGAGCGTTTTTCAAGGCAGTTTTTGCCGCGCACCACCACTATGTGGAACCAGCTGCCCACTGAAGTATTCCCAAACCAATTCGACTTAGGGTCCTTCAAGAAAAGAGCGTACCAATTCTTAAAAGGCCGGCAACGCACTCGCGAGCCCTCTGGAATTGAGAGTGTCCATGGGCGGCGGTATCACTTAACATCAGGTGAGCCTCCTGCCCGTTTGCCTCCCGTTCTATTAAAAAAAAAAAAAAACTATGCATTACAATGAGTAAGAATTGCGAACCCTTTTAAGTAAAAAACACCTGTGTCAGGGTTCCCAGCGAATATACATATATTTTTTATGTTAGCTGTAATATAACGAAATTGATAAATAAAAAAAGCGGCCGCAGAGCAGTCGGAAAATAATAAACGGCTCAAATATAATTCTTGCCTCCAACTTCGATTTTGTTCCCTTTGGAGTTGACTCTAGGGCCTAATTAAGATTTAAGTTGGCGCCTGGTAGATAGTACCGGTGACCCCAGAGCTGCTTTCCTCAACGAATAAGTCACACACACAGGGACCAAACTTTTTAAGTTCTAAACAAACTTAAATAATTTTCATTTTATTAATTTTTTAATTATTTTTATTATTACTATGTAGGTGAAGAAAATTGTAAATACTGTATATTTTATTGTTATGTTTAGTTACATGAATAAATATATAGTAATAAATAAAAGTAATAATATATAAAATAAAAATAATCTAATATATAAAATTCTCGTGTCGCGGTGTTTGTGGTTAAACTCCTCCTAAACGGCTTGACCGATTCTCATGAAATTTTGTGTGCATATTGGGTATAACTGAGAATCGGACAACATCTATTTTTCATCCCCCTAAATACTTAGGGTAGTCCGTTTTTAGTTTTTTATGTTTTTATGATACAGCATTAAAAATACATACAACCCCTAATTTTCACCCTTCTACGATCAACCCCTATTTTTTATTATAAATGATAATATACATGGCAAAATGAGGTTTCCCGGATCAGCTAGTAATATATAATTTCTTCACTATGGCTTAATTTTAGAGAAATATGGACACATGTAATATTCTGGGCAATCCTTGGAATAATCTTGGTAATGTGCCTTAAAATACTTTGAATAGTAAAATTGTATGCTATGAATATATTTTAACTAACCATACTGATACATAATATATTAGGTGTTAGTTCAATTTGTTTCGGTTTGCGTAGAAAATTACTGGAAAATCGTATTACATATTATTGAAATACAAATGACTTTTAAGAATATTATTTTTTCTACAAGTATTATTATTGTTACATTATTTTTCTTTGTTTACGGCTGAGGCGCAAACTAACTGGTGTGGGTGGTGGCAGAATGACCAGCGCTGTGTAACAGTCTGCTCCTCAGCATAATGCTGAGCCAGGGCCTATTACAACCACAACACACACGCATTTATACACACTTAATACGTACCTTGTTCTTTAAAAAAATTGTTATCTTTCATTATTTTTATTATTATTGTTATTTTGTGTGTTTTGATAGTAATAAATGTTATGTCTATGAAATAAATAAAAGTAATAATTTATACAAGTTTGATTGATGAGTTAAATTATCAGAAATTATATTATTATCGTGTTCCGAAAAGTACTTTTTATTTGCACCACTGGCCTAGTGTCTTCAGCTTGCGACTCTAATCCTTGAGTTCGTAGGTTCGATACCCGGCTGTGCATCAATGGACTCTTTCGATGTGCGAAAACATCGTGATGACATCGGCTTGGCTTAGACCAAAAAAGTCGAAGGCGTGTGTCAGGCACAAGGGGCTGATCACCTACTTGCCTATTAGATTGTCAAATGTTCATGATACAGAAATCTGAGGCCCAGACCTAAAAAGGTTTTAGCGCCACTTATTTATTTTTATTTGAATAAGACCAAAAATTTATGATACCTTTGGTTTCCTGGACAATGTTTTTAAGTCACAAAATTGTTGTGTCCAATTTCCAGTTCCCTAGTATGGGCATCAGGTCGTCACCATAGTGGAGTGGTTGAACGGCTTCTATCAGCCGGAGCTCGCCCAAACTCATGCGACAAATACGGTACTTCCGCCCTAACTTGGGCGGCAAGGGCGGGTGATGTGGCGGCTTCAGCGGCTTTGCTACGTGCTGGGGCGGATCCTAACACAGCCGGAATGTATTGCTGGACACCTTTACTACAGGCTACTCAAGGTTAGTAGTTTTTTTAAATTTTCCGATAATTGAATCCAAAGCTTAAAAGTAAATGCTATTTGTGACCACGTAAACCAGGAAGGCAGTTTTGATTTACCAGTTATTTATTTGTTTACACTTCTTTGCAAGATACAAGAACAATTTTAATCATTACATTACATTATAAGGACAGCAATGTGCGGTCTTATCGCTTTCGAGTGATCTATTCCAGGCAACCATTGTATGAAAAATAACTTGGAGAAATTAAAATATGAATAATTTTTTTTATAGTACAGGGGGTATCTGATATTAAGTGATACCGGGGCCCATGGCCCCTCAATGCCAGTGGGCTCGCGAGTACGTTACCGGTTATTCACTACCATAACTACATTTACAGCGTACATTGTTAAAATTATATGCTTTTAACATTTTATGACAGTTAATTTGCTGTTAATTGAATGATATTATAGTGATTTATTATAAATATAATTTTTATTACGCGGCAGAGGTGACTATTAAATGTTTAATACGACTTTAAAAATGTTTCGACTTTATTATTAAAAGTACGAGATTAGCAGAAATATTTATGTGTCTATTTAATTCTGTTATGTGAATTCGCAAAAGAAGCTCCGTGCAGCAAATTTTGTTAACGGGAACATAGGAAACTGCTTTGAAAGCGAAAAAATAAATAACTCAGCTTTGAGTTATTTACGAAGGAGGTGACGAAGTCTAGATATGAAAACAATTCTAAGTGTTGACAGGATGTGTTTGTCGCGCCAAAGTCTATTCGTAGCTAAATTTGACCTAACATACCAGGCCTTACGATTGTAGGTATATCTTCCGTCAGTTAATTATATTTTCAACAAACAAACCTATACTTACTCAAAGCCCGCCAACGCACCCACTAAAAATGTGTATCCATGGGCTGCGATGACCTCCCTTTATGGGCGCCCCGTAGGCTCGTATTCCCCCTGTATTAGCGTAATATTTAATTAATCCATATTTTATTTAAAAAAAAGCCTGTATTCGAGTACTACATTTCATTACGTGTCAATGTTTAACATTAGTAAACAACCTTCGACGGAGTGAATGCCTCCTTCAAACTCTTCCACATTTCTCTAATATCAAAAATCAATCATAATAATTTATTATTACTCATATATTACAATGTTACATTGATCTTTTTTGACTCTTTTCATCAAAGCGTAAACACAATGTGACAGAAAGGGACGAATGAGTTTTATATTGGACACTAGATTTGGTGAACTAGTTCAAAATAAGGCTGGGTTGGTGCTCTGTAATTTGAATAAGCGATATTGCACTAGCAAATTACATAGTACCAGCGCTAGTAATGTTATTTAAACATGGTATTATAGAATGAAAGAGCAGTTTTGGCCTAGTGGCTTCAGCGTGCGAAATCCCTTAGGTCGTAGTTTCGATCGATAGTAGAATCGATGTGCGCATTTAACATTCGCTCGAACGGTGAAGGAAAACATCGCGAGGAAACCGGCTTGCCTTAGACTCAAAATCACCTACTTGCCTATTAGATAGACAAATAATCATGAAACAGATAAAGAAATTTGAGGCCCAGACCTAAATAGGTTGTAGCGCCTCTGTTTTATTTATTATAGAAGAATTAGCGTATGTCTATAACCTAAACTAGTGTAATTAATTGTAATGATTATCAAATGTATCTATTACGCATAACGTTTAAAGTGATTCACGCGAATTTGTCATGATACCGATTCCAAGAAATATTAGTCTCTAAATTGATTATAAATTATTCTAATTTTAAACAGGCCAAGGTTGAAATAAATATAAAATTATATCACTGAGTCAGTATTGGTTTTTCTCAGCGAGATCTTGAAATCTAAACTGATTGATATCAAAATAGAATCTAAATACAAACAAATTTTCCTAATCCTATGACAAGAATATATAAGTAACTTTACCGTGCTGAGAAACCGCTATTGTATTTCTAAAATTGAAATGACGAGACACGCCCAATGACAAACCAAATGTGATTTACTTTAAGCCTAATTATTTGATAAATTTTATTTATTTCCCACATAATTTTAATAAAGAGTTATTACTAATACGATAGAACTACACAACAATACATACACCGATAATTCTACTATTAAAAAAATATATATATCAAGATTATATATACTAACTAGTTGACCCGGCAAACGTTGTTTTGCCATGTATTAAAAATAAAAACTAAAAAAATTGTCTAAAAAATAAAGCTGGACACCCCTTATAACTAAGGGGTTTGAAAGATAGGTAGTAGCCGATTCTCAGACTTACTTCTCAGATTTCATAAGAATCGATCGAGCCGTTTCGGAGGGGTATGGGAACGAACATTGTGACACGAGAATTTTATATATATTAGATAACATAACAAGCAGCTCTTCTAAACTCATCCTGTGCACAAAGAAATATGTCTACCGCCTAACCCATATAAATAATAAAAATGGTAACAAAGTTTTCAAACAGCCCTATTATTCTTTATGATTCGACATCTATTTCTTTATTGGGAACAAGCCACACGGTTAGCTCATTTAGGTCTTCGCCAAATCTCTCAATGGCTTTTAGATAATCTCCTATCCTTAAATACGTCTAAGACCAAATACATATGTTTTCACATATCGAAATCCAGCAAACCAAACCCTGTTCTTCCTATTAAATTACATTGATGTTTGAACCTTCACAGCAACTGCAACTGTCCTCTCCTGGAACCCACTAAAACAACCAAATACCTGGGATTAATTATTGACTCAAGGCTTTGTTGGGGCCCTCAAATAAACTACCTGTGTTCTCGAGTTCGTAAACTTATAAATGTTTTCAAACGCCTTAGAAAGCCAGCTGATCCACATACAATCAAGATAGTGTATACTGCATTATGCCAGTTGATATTATCTTACTGCATATCGGTTTGGGGTGGAGCGGCATTGTCTTCGATGCTGAAAATTGAGCGCACCCAACGTGCCATTCTTAAGATAGCATATAAGAAACCTTTCCGCTATTCAACATCAAAATTGTACCATGAAACAAAATTTTTAACTGTGAGACAATTATATTTAATAGCAATATGCAGACTTTTTTGGAAACAAACACCCACCGCACCGCATCAAACAAATCGCAAACCTATATATAAGCAGCCCAAAACTCGCACTTTCTTCGCCCAACGTTTTTTCTCCTTCCGAGGCCCTTTCATCTTTAACTACTTCATTAAAAACAAAATTATCACTAACATTTCAAAAATCACATTGCATACATTTACTAAACATCTGAAACAATATCTTATTAACCTGTCCTATTCTGATACTGAAAATATTCTTATTGTGCAAAAATAGTTTTAATATAAATGTGTAGAAATAATTAATATAATTTTTAAAATAGTGTTTACGTGTCAAAAGGAAGAGACTGGCTGCCCACAACACAGGGAATCCTAGTGTGGGGGCCAGTGCACTTTACCTTATCTAAATGTCTTGTATTTTGTGCATAATAAAGTTTTTTTCTTTCTTTCTTTCTTTCTTAAAATATTATGAGATTTAGAAGAACAAAAGAGACAACTTCTGAACTGATAACGGGTTTTAATTAACTTGAATCCTTGTAATTTTATAATAAAACTATGTTTACATGTTTGTGTGTTATTGAATTTAAGGTTAATCAGTAAATTTGTTTTTCGAGCTTCGTTTGTTTTGCCAACGGCCATCATTAGCGATGATTGATGTCTTGGCACAAAATGCTGTTATAACCTACATCGCATAAACATATTTGTAACTGCATGTATAAAACATCAAATTTTATTGTTTTAAATAGCAGAAGGATAAATATATTACATTATAATTACTTAATTCACGTTAAAATAACGTTATTTCTAAAGAAGTTATTTTTCTAGAGGCGTTTCTGATGACCACATTTTTGTTTTATTTTCAAGATTTTAACATTACACTTCGCTAATCCGGCTTGAAGGACCATAATGACGCAAGTTATACCACCAGGTCTTACTTAAAATATTTAATATTATTAGTATTAACTTAAAATTTACAAATTTTCAGGAAACCATTTCGAAATTGTGCAAATGCTGTTAGAACATAAGCCAAATGTGAATGCGCTCGACAAGGATGGTTGTACTGCGCTGGCGACAGCTTGCAAGGAAGGCTTCTATGACATAGCTTTAGCTTTGATTAATTCTGGGGCGTACATTAATGTACAGGTATGTTTAATGATTAATAAACTAGAATTATATTTTTAAGACCTGAATATTGAATGATTTTTTTTAAAATAATTTAATTAATTCAGATTTTCGTAATTATATATATTACTAGCTGACCCGGCAAACTTAGTTTTGCAATGTTATTAGGAAACATTTTTTTAGTTCAATAAAAATAACATAATAAAAAATAGGGGTTGATCGTAGAGGGATGATAATTAGGGGTTGTATGTATTTCGTATGCTGTATCATAAAAAAATTAAAACAAAAAGTTTTATCAAAAAAATAAAAATTTAGGCGTGGACCACCCTTAACATTTAGGGGGATTAAAAATAGGTAGTAGCCGACTCTCAGACTTACTGAATATGCATAAAAATTTCATAAGAATCGGTCGAGGTGTTTCGGAGGAGTATGGGAACGAACATTGTGACACGAGAATGTTATATATTAGATGTGTAGCGGTATATTTATGTAATTAGCTAAATAATGTTTTGTTCTTACAAGACATTTAACTGATTGTCGTTTATAGTATACATTTTTATATTCTGTATTTAATTTTCAACATTTTTGGTAGACAACTTTTTATGTAAAAAACGTACAATAGACATTTAAGAACTTTAAAATTGTTTTCAGGACCACTCGAAAGATACTCCCCTAATACAAGCAGTGAAGGGTGGCTACAAGCACGTTGTTGAGGCATTGCTAAAGAAGCACGTAGATGTAGACCTTCCAGGGAAAGAGAAGAAGACTCCAGTGTACACTGCGGTGGAGAAAGGCCATGTGGCCATTTTGAAGTTGCTTTTAGCTTCGAATCCAGACCTGGAACATTGTACTATAGTAAGTATTTTGAAACCCGAATGGGAACAAACTGCGATTTAGTTTATTGAGTCTTCATGAGCAAGTGAACCCAGAATAGAGAAACTATAGATTATGCAGCATATTATTGTAATTTTTTTCTGTGTTTGTGTAATGTTTTTGTTTAGTTTTATGTATCATTTGTACTTTTTTTTACTCTAAGCAATTTGAAATTTGTAAATGTTGAATCCCTTAGAGGTTTTTTAGTGTTTTCTGTACTTTTAGTTTATTTATTTCAAAATTCAAAAATCATTTAATCATAGGTAACACAATGTACACTTATGATCGTCAAAAATAAGGAATGTATATGAAATACTTCTAACTTTACATTTAGTGCCAGTTCTCAAATCAAGGGCGTAGAACGGAAGAGAAGAACTGGCAATAAACTCTCCGCCACTCTTTTTAATCGCAATATTTTTGTTTTTAAACAACGTTTGTAAGGAGCTGCAACCATTATATAACTCTTATTATTGTACTTATAATTGTTAATTTGCATAAAAAAGATGATTTTTAAGTTTTATACAAAAAAACTAGGATAAAACAACCTAAAAATTTGCAGTTAAATAAATATTGCTCATTCTTTTCTTTCTCATTTTAGACAGGAGATACCCCATTACTCCGTGCAGTGCGGTCTCGTAATGCGGAAATGGTCGCGTTATTGTTGGAACGCAAGGCCCGCGTCAATGTGGCTGACAACAGGGGTGATACCGCACTGCATATCGCTATGAGGGCGCGGTCTAAGGTAATTTCATTTTTCATTTTTTTTTTTTTCTGTACAATATATCGGTTAATATAACTTCACAGAAGGGACGTTATCAGTTTGACATTGAATTTAAACGTGAAATGTTTAGATTCGCATGCATTTGTTACATTTTATTAGTCTATAACCAATTTCATGGTAATTAAAAGTTATATGGATGACGCTAAGTAAGATTGACAGGTGTATAACGCTATTACGATAACGTGTTTGAAATGGGCATTATTTTTATATTAAGTCCTTAAAAAAATTTCAAAACTTGCTTTATTGCGAGCTTTTCAACAATAAATTTTATTTTTCAATCAATTTACAATTATAATATGTTATACTTATAAAACGTCCTCGAGACACTATCTATTTGTGAATATCGACCAATCCCTCTCCGAGCGGATTGATCCCTTGGCGTTGCGTAGGGATGTGGGATCTCTCTAAATCTTCTCTCTTCCACAACTCAGCGTTTTTTAAGGCAGTTTTTGCCGCGAAATACCACTATGTGGAACCAGCTGCCCACTGAACTATTTCCGAAGCAATTCGACTTAGGATACTTCAATAAAAAAGCGTACCAATTCTTCAAAGGCTGGCAGCGCACTCACGAGCCCTCTGGCATTGAGAGTGTCCTTTATTACTTAACATCAGATGAGCCTCCTGCCCCTTTGCGCCCCGTTCTATAAAAAAATCTAAATATTGATGTGCCTCCGGAAAACATACAGCATTGTATAATGAAGAAGCAATGTATACTTAGACATGAAGTGCGATACATACCGAGTGAAATAGTTCCTTTTAGAAAGAAAAGATGGCGCTGTAATCGCCTCAACTTCAAACTTATCTTAACCAGCTAGGACGTTGTCATTTCCACTGTCATATCGTTGTGTACTTTCGCCGCGTGCGGTCAAAACCGACACAACTTAATATTAACAGTAAATCAGTGCATAGTCAACTTAAAACCTTAGTGTTAATTATTAGCAAACCGCATTATATATACATTACACGTGCGTTATGGATTCCGCGCCGACTCACGATGCCGATGAGGCCGGGGCCGATCAGGCAGGTAGTCTAAAAAGTGTTGAGCAAGGTCAAGAGCAAGACAAAGAGGACTCTACGTGCACCAGGAGCGCGTCTGATAGCGACTCGGAGCGCGAGGAACCGCCACGAAAGAAAAGGAAACGAGTACCACAGGTAACGTTCGATCCCACGATCGACGCGTTATACAATCAGGTGAGTTTCCTCACAAATTTTATAATGCATCAATAATATGTACCAAATGTCAATGACGAGGCTACTCTCACCAACCGACGAACTGCGATAGCGATTTTTTATTAAATCGTCGACCGGAAAATTGAATTCTCGGGAAGAAAAAGATTATTAAAACGGCCGATGAAGAACGATTACGTCAGCTTATAAAGCGCGCCATCTATTCTATCTATGAGGAACTATTTCACTCGGCATGTATCGCACTTCATGTCTAAGTATACATCGCTTCTTCATTATACAATGCTGTATATTTTCCTTGTCGGTTTTATTTTTATGTAAAACCATCATAATATACCGTACATTGTATATTTTTCAGCAAATCGTTGAAATCCTCCTCCGCAATCCAAAAAACAGCCAACTCTTATACAAACCGAACAAGTTGAACGAGACCCCGTACAACATAGACATGAGCTATAACAAAACCATTTTGGGACAAATATTCGGAGCTCGCAAGTTGAACACCAACGAAGACAACGAGAACATGTTGGGCTACGAACTGTACAGCGCGGCGCTGGCCGACATGCTGTCGGAGCCCAGTTTGTCGGTGCCCATCACTGTGGGGCTGTTCGCCAGGTGGGGGTCCGGGAAGTCGTTTTTGCTCAACAAGCTTAAAGGTGAGCTATTCTTTATAAGAATCGAGATGACTTTTGCTTGCTCATAAGTAGAATGTTCTCTCTGAAAATGATTACGATAGTTGAATATAAGAGTAATACTCGCAGAGGAGATGAAGAACTTCGCCCGGCAGTGGAGCGAAACGGGCTGGTCCTGGTCATGGGCTGTGTGGTGGAGCGCCTGGCACGCCGCCCTGGCCCTGGCGGCAATCGCGGCGGCCTGCGGGGCGCCGCCCTATCTGGCTCTGGGGCTCTGTTTCGTGCTCTTCGCTGCCTTCTATCTGGCCCTGTATACGCTGTGGTACCTCACGCATCGGTTAGTTACTTTTTTGTGGACTGTAGTTTACTCAAATAATTAAATACAAAATATTCTTAATAATACATTTTAAATCAATAAATATATTTATTCTATAAAGTCATTTACATAACTTAAATTATTTTTTATCGCGTGAATAAAATAATAAAAAACTTATTAAATAATTAATAATTATATCTATTTTTTTTCTTAATTTTGTGGCCTTAATATAAGAAATTTAAATTTACTACAAGCCAGCATATTTTATATATTTATTGAGACTTGTACGAATTTCAGATACGAATGGTGGTGGGCGGGAGGTGTCTTGTCCGCCATGGGGAAGCGATTTAGTTCCTTGCTGCTGGTGCTCCAAGTGGTCTTCTGTCACCCTCCAGGGCCGAACGATCCGAGAGCGCTGCCAGCCACACCTATACGGTAAGTACTTTGCACATGGAAGATATATTTTCCTAAGAATATAGGCTGTATCTTAGCAAGATTTGGTAAAGGAAATTAAGCACTTTTGATGTGCATTACTTTAGAGCAGGGTAATCGAAGTATTTCTATATATAATAAAATGTTTGTATTTATTGAATAAAGAAATATATGGTTGAGCCAAGTGATGGCTGTGAACAGCTTTTATTTTCTTTTATTGCGCTGTATGGCACGACAAGGGGGTGTAATGGTAAATGTGGTTAATCACAGAAAAGTTTTTTTACGACCTTTTCCTTTGAATAATTGTAATGTAGAGGGAGGGTAAAACTTGCTGAGTTTCTTGCCCGTTCTTCTCAGAACAAGGTCTCCTGGTAGTCTTGCTCTCTCGCGAATTTTGTAAACGTTTTTCACATTCATAAGCTTGCGATAAGACGAACAAAGAGCTAGGAATACAATTTTGATTAGTCCATCACTAGTCTAGTCCAAGAGACAGCACCAACTTTTTTTTAGTATGATTAAAGTGGTCTGTCCGCAGCCTGCTAGATTTATTATGCTTTTACAGTAAATTTTATATTTAAATCAATTTACAAATTATAATATGTTATAATTATAAAACGTTCTCGGGACACTATCTATTAATGAAAATCATTTAAAATCCGTTCGTTAATTGTCAAGTATACTGTCTATATACATACAAACGACGTCTATATACAGACGAACAGGACTTCAATTTATAAGAATTACACAGATTCCACTTCACCGAAGGCATGAAAAGCGGCAGCGGTCAGGAGAGCGAGGCGATGGTGATTCAAATGTTGGCGAGTCTGGCCGAAGCCCTGGAACTGCAGTACGGCCGGGTCTGCACCAGGCTGGCCCGGGCCTTCAGGCCTAAGCCTGTCTCTTCTACTTCGGGCTGGAGGTCAGTACAAAATCTATTGATTAATTGGTTAATTGATTAAAATTAATATAGATATATATATGTGTTTATAGGCATTTAAATTGAGGCGTTGTCTTGGGCGGAACGGTATGTAACAAAAAATATTACAAATTAAATAAATCTATAGTATGCATTATGAGCAGTGTTGGCCAAGTGGCTTCAGCGTGCGACTCTCATCCCTGAGGTCGTAGGTTCGATCCCCGGCTGTGCACTAATGGACTTTCTTTCTATGTGCGCATTTAACATTTGCTCGAACGGTGAAGGAAAACATCGTGAGGAAACCGACATGTCTTAGACCCAAAGTCGACGGCGTGTGTCAGGCACTGGACACCTCCTTGACTATTAGATTGAAAAATGATCATTAACAGATTCAGAAATCTGAGGCCCAGACCTAAATAGGTTGTAGTGCCACTGATTTTATAGTATGCATTATGATCAAGGTTTCAAAAGGATTCTTTTTTTCGTTTAAATGTCAGTAAAATTTTTTGACTATTTAGCTAAATAATTTAATTTTAACTCTGATTAAATCGTTAAGATCTAGCTCCGTTCAAGTGTTACGTAATTACTATTTCAATCATTTTCTTATTTTGATAACTAATGATTTTTATTGATCGAAATCAAATGAAATATGAATTTCCAGATGGCGCCGCGCATGCTGCATCCCCCATATCGTGACGTTCGAGATTTGCTTCACGTGCATCTTATTGGCTGCCTGCATTTTGACCATTTACCTCACTGACTCTGGAGCAGATCAATCGTAAGACGAAACATGAGTTACAAATCTATTTACTTTAATAGTTCTTTCATTTTTTAATTAAAAATAATGTTTAAGATAATTTAGTTGTTTTTTTCGTTTATATTATTGTTTTATCTTCTTTGCTGAGCTATCGTTTTCTTACTTTTTATAGACTAATATGTGAAAATCATTTTTTTATCCTAGAATGTCTGTTTTATTTTTAAAAATTACGCGACTCCAGTTGAATTAGTATAAAGAGATATCAGAGTTAAAATTAAGAAAGAAACGACGGCTCAGCGTATTGTCGTCGATCAGACGGCGTGACATTCAACAGGGGCTGTTGATCGGCGCCTGCGCAGCCGCAGGCGCGCTGCTGCTGGCCAACGTGTTCACCGCGGGTCGGGCTTTGGCCGCCCTGGCCATTCCGCCCCGGGTCAGGCTCAACCGGGTGGCTCGGCAGGCTGTCAAGAACCACCACGCGCACGTGCTCGCTCTGAGACCGGAAGTGCAGGCGCTGACGCACACCGTACGTATATTATTCTTGATGACTTTCGCATGTCTTTGTGTGTGATTTGGCCAACTGCGTTTTTTCCAAGTTACATATAAATTAAATTTAATATCAATAATATTTTTCTTATTCCCACTTAAATCTGGTTCCGCTGGTATTATTAGGAGCTTCTTTAATGCCAGAATTAATATATTTTTTTGTTTCTAAAGTCCATTAGATCACGTTAAGTGGGGACGGTGTTCCATCCACAACCATCCATTGGGCATCAAAATATCTCCTCGATCTAGCCCCAAATATGTATTTTCAGGTATCGTGCCTGGATGCCTTTACGGGTCAGCAGACCCGCCTGGTGGTGGTGGTTGACGCTCTGGACAGCTGCGAACAGGAGAAGGTCCTGGCCCTCCTCAACGCCGTACACGCGCTCTGCTCGGACCCCAAGAGCCCCTTCATATTGTTGCTGGCCATCGACCCTCATATTATTAGCAAGGTGACGTTTCACTCAGTTTTATGAGTAGTATCCAAATTGTAGTTTGACATTTTTGAGTAATTATTTTCCAAAATGTTGATGCCTTTACAAAATTTGACAATTTAGCTTCTATAAAAATCATGTGTTGTGTACGTATGTACACGCGTTAAAAGTTATACTTCTTTGGCGTAACAAAATAAAAGTCTTTTCAAAAACGTTAGTAGAAAAATGGTATATTTTATACATTGAAAATTTTATTATAACGCATTATCTAGTTAAATAAAAATTATTTAAATATCACAAAAAATATTTCTACATAATTAAAGAAATGGACATTTTTTATTTTAAAATGTTGACAATGCTAACTTCAGGGTGTAAAATCGTCAAAATTTCCTCTCATCATTTTTCCCTAACGCGCCAAAAGAAGTATAACTTCAAAAGCAAAATATTTGATCAGTGCCAAGCATTTAATTTATTTGACATTATTCTGTCATATTTTTACTTATGTATTTTTATTCGTATAGGTAGTAATAGGTACTAATATTGTGGTTCTAACAAGTTTCCACTGCGCAGGTGGCTTGGATCGAGGTTAGTCGAGTTGGGGTGTCGTGTCTCCGTTAGCAAATAGCCTTGTATATGAAGCCCTTTCATAAATTTAAGCGATTTAACAAAGTCTAGCACACATTCTCGAATCTTCAGAGAATCTGGCTAAAAATTAGTCCCAGAAATAAAATTCTTCATATTAATCTCATCTTCATAGTTAAAAACAAATCTTGCCTTGGACTAGCAGATATAACAAAACGATTTTGAAAATACAATCCCAAAATTTTTAAGATTTTAGAAAATCGCCCCAAAATCTATCCAGATTTTATGGTCCCTCAGCCGTGTTAAATATAGGGCTAATAATGTCAGTACAGTGTGCTTGCATGCTTCTACACCTGGTTTGCGGGTTTTTTTCTGTTTTCTACTATTGACGTTGTATATAAATGTATTGCATGAATATCCGTAAAGCAAAACTATAATATCGTCCAAAATCAAAAGACCAGATACTAAGAAATATTAGCCGAGCGTGCTATTCTCAATATAGGATTGTAGTTTTTTTATAGTGTAATGAGGCAAACTAGTCTACGCCCATAAGGGTAGTAATCGCAGCCCATGGACATACAATTTAGAGGTTGCGTTGCTGGTTTTTGAGAGAGAAGTAAACTCTGTAAGCAATTGGAGGTCGCATCTCCGAGGGAAGATTCCCGGGAGTCGATTCCACAGTTTTCAAAAGAAATTTACATTCTATAAGCGCAACGAACACTTGCTCGTACGTTGTCAGGCATTGAAGAAGTATTCGTTTTAAACGATCTTTTAGAATCGTCCCTAATTACGTTCGAAAATAAAACAGGCGGTAGAAATAAACAGTCGCCGAGCACTGTCGGAGAGCAACATCGGAGGCTGGGATTATCTCCGGAACATGGTGCAACTGCCGTTCTACCTCCAGAACTCGGCTTTGCGTAGAGTGAAGAGCGCTCAGCAGACTGCCACCAAGAGGATGCACAATATAGCTGCGGAGGATTTCTCCACTTCGCTGCAACGATCGGTACGTTGTTTATTACGTGCTAAGGGCGTATGGGCTGTCTTTGTCAATTAAATCACAAATCACAGCCATTCTAGGTCTGGGCCTCTGTATCTGTTTCATGATTTGTCAAACTAATAGGTAAGTAGATGATCAACCTCCTGTGTCTGACACACGCCGTCGACTTTTTGGGTCTAAGGCAAGCCGGTTTCTTTACGATGTTTCTCCTTCACCGTCCCAGCGAATGTTAAATGCGCACATAGAAAGAAAGTACATTGGTGCACAGCCGGGGATTTAACCTACGACCTCAGGGATGAGAGTCGCTCGCTGAAGGCCCTAGACTTTCACGAATGCGTGAAATAAAAATTGTATTATGACAGTTTTTCATAGAAAATATAGTTAAATGTCCAAATATTCCTACCATAGATACTAAGCGATATAATTAATTTTTTAGGTATCATCGCGACGTCTATCGTCCACATCGGAACTCATGTCCAGCCAAGAGCGCATAAAGCCCCAGCAGACCAAAGAGAGCGTGAGGCGTCTCCGACCCTCGGAGTCCATCGCTTCCTCTGTGGCATCGGGTCTGCACAGGGCCGTCCCGACACCGGCGGGAGGAGCTGCCGATCTCGGCCGGGTTCTGCTGACCGATGACTACTTCAGCGACGTCAACCCTAGGAGCATGCGCCGGTTGATGAATGTGCTGTATGTTACTGGTTCGTACATTACGTTATCTATGTATAGTTTTGTTAGTATGCCTTAAAAAAATCATAATTTTTTAAACTGTGGTCAACTTGGCATTTATCTTATCCATCTTGGCTTATCCATTTCTTCTAAATGTGTAGCTACAAAGTTCTAATATTTTTATAATCTCATACAAACAAAAATTTGCAATTAAAAAATAAATTTAAATTTTTAATTACGTAATTTATTACCATAAATTACCATAAGGCAGCAGCGCAATTTACCTTATTTTTTTTTCTATATATCGTCGCTGTAGAATGATAACCTCGTATGTCCAGAGAACCAAACATTACAGGAAACGAAAAAAGTGTTTCATTTCGTCAATGTTCGTTAAAATATTATTATGTGTTTTTGTCCATATGTCCATTAATAACATAAAAAAGTCCTTACTTTATGATTACCAGTTAAATTACATAAAGACACTCTAAGAATAAAAAATAAATGTTTTTTTTTAAATACGAGGTTATTATTCTACAGCGACGATATACCAAAAACAGATTTGTCTTAAAATTGCCAGACGATTATTTGATTTGCAGTATTTAGGAGTTTAAATGTCATTAAATCAGCTTGCAATTGAGAATAGATAAAAATGTATAACTGAGATTATTTGGTATTCAGGTCGTCTATTAAAGGCCTTCCAAATCGAGTTCAACTGGTACCAGCTGGCCTCTTGGGTGAATCTCACGGAGCAGTGGCCTTTCCGCACTTCCTGGATCATATACCATCACGAGACTTTCGAAGAACACATCGACGACAACACCTCGCTCAAGCATATCTATGATAAGTACGGAAGTGTTCAAAATATACTTTTATTATATGCAGTCATTTTTAAGCTATTGCATAGGTTTCATCGCAGCGACCGAATCAAGAAATTCCCTAACGAAAATAAAAACCTAACACGATGACGTAATATACGCGTTAGAGCGCTACAGAACGCATACTGCGTATTCACATCTCTCTGACGAGATCGGTGACGTAGCGTAAGCGCGGCCGGTGCAGCCGGTACGCGTTAGAGTGAGACAGACTATATAAGCGTGTTAGTCTGGGTAGAGTGGTAGATTGAATTAATATCAAAGAAAAAAAATACGGCTTAAATAAAAAATAAATAAACAATTATAATTGCATAAGTTGATGAAAAATGCTATGGAATAGCTTTACCGCAGCAATCCCCGAGGGCCACACGTTTTTTTTTTAAATAAGTCTGATACATGTATATGCGATTTTGCGGCACTACTTTAAGTAATTTTAATAAATTTAAGATACATTTTAGCAGAACTTAACCGTCCTGTACGGTCCACAGATTGTTTACATTTCAGGTTTTTTGAAGACGTATAAAAATTAAGAAAATTTTTAATATATAATAATTTATGTAAAATATAAAAGAATACTTCCCTTAATAATTTAGCATTTAAATAACCAGGGTAAAACCACTGATAAGCGGTCTTCGTGAGGCTGGTAATCTGCTGGAGTTGGATCGTGATGAACGGAAGCTGGAAGTGTTTCTGAGCTTCCATCGTGCAACGCTCACTGCGGCAGATCTCAAGATATTCCTCCCTTTCACCATCAACCTGGATCCTTATATCAAGAAGGTTATCAAAGGTGAGGGATTCTCTTCTTTCTTCTAGCAGCCTGAGCAGTACTTTCAAATTTTATAATTGTAATATCATTTGACGACCAAAATAGATTATTTCTTTGTGTCTTTATCATTGTCAGTACCTTTTGAATGTAAGAAAAATAGAACATAATATTTTTTAATCTCCTGAGCGTTCGAAAATAAGACGCACGACTTATCAATCTTTAATTTTTAGATATATCTTCAATATATTCTTGAAGCCATTGATATATCCAAAAAGAGAAACGATTTAAAAACAAATGGTGACTTTCACCAGTATAATACGCGAAATAGAACTAATTTGAGTGTAAGACCAACCAGGCTCCAAAAGATAAACCACTCCTTATATGGAAATTGTATTCGTTTTTACAACAAACTCCCAAGCGAAATTAGAGAATTATCACTAAATAAATTCAAAGCCCTCGTTAAACGGAAATTAATCAATAAAGCTTTTTATAAATTTGACGATTATTTAAATGATCCTAATCTAATAATTTGTATGACTCAAAACTTGGCGATTAAAAAGAGTGGCGGAGAATTTCTTACCAGTTCTTCTTTCCCGCTCTACGCCTTGACTTGCGTACTGGTAGTAAATGTAAACTTAGAATCAATTTATAATCTTTTCTGTTGTTCATAAGTGTACATGGTTACCTATATGAATAAAGTTATTATTATATATATATAATATATATATATATCATATTATATTATAAATGAGTTTGAGTATATTAAATTCAATCTATAGCATAGTTAGCTAGACGGCTATATAAAACTATGTTACGATGAAAGGGCAGAGCTAATTCTGTATAAACATTAAAAAAAGGTTAAAACATATTTATATTGATAAATTACATTATTATTAAACACATTAATATGAAATTATTTAATACTTTTCATAATGGCAGTACATCGTATGTTTGTGAATAGTCAAAGAGAATCCCGCGGCACAATAGTTAAATTTATTATTTATTTCAGAGGAGCACTTGCAATCCGGTATAGATGAGGACCTGGGTTCTGGAGCAGCGACTTTCAACTTGCAGAAGCAACCGCATTCGAAGCTTATTCATAGGAAACAGGTAAATTAAAAGTTAAACAATCTAATATATAAAATTCTCGTGTTACAATGTTCGTTCCCATACTCCTCCGAAACGGCTCGACCGATTGTTATGAATTTTTTTATGCATATTCAGTAAGCCAGAGAATCGACTTCTGTCAATCTTTCAAACTCCAAAATGTTAAGGGTTTATTTTTTAGATACAATTTTAGTTTTTATGATACATCCCTTAAAATACATACAACCCTTAATTTTCACCTCTCTATGATCGACCTCTATTTGTTAATTAAAATCTTATGAATTGCACTCTGAGGTTTATATAGAGAAAAATCCACAGAATACCTAGAGAAACAGTCTCTGGGGTAGCATAGCAAAATGTTCCACGTTGGTTTGTACTAAAAAGGTAGGCTAAGTAAAATCACAGTAAGGAGAACGAAGTTAGGGGAGGCAGCTAGTATTCTTATATAATCTGTGTACTTAATTTTATTAAATGGTGCTTTAAAAAAGAAAATCAAAGAGACCCCCATCCCCCCTATATTTATTACGTAATACTTGAACGTCCCCTTACCGAGAAAAGGAAGCTTCCTGGATACAGCTTCCTGGATACAGCTTCCGGACCCAGGCCCACACACTCATGGCTGTATTGGTTATATATTTTTCTTTTTGCAATTTATAAGCAGAAAGTGCAGCCGGTGGCGCCAACTCCGCAACAGAACCCGGTGTGGGCGGGGTGGGCGTCGACGTCTGTGACCGCGCCCACTTCGGCCCTAGCCCCCGCACAGCACACTCCTTTTATGCCTGTTGTCGGTGCTAACCCGGCGGCGATGATCAGAACTGCTTTTCCAGCACTGGTAAGATTTATCTTATTTGTTATACAATATATCGACGATTAAGGTCCAATAGTGTTTATGTCAATAAAGTGAACTTTTCAGGAGATAAAAAAAACATTTCTCGGCTTTGAATAGAAAGATACTTTAAATGTTCATATATATGTAAAAATATAAAAATATGCTGAAATACGATAGATATCCTAGCATTAGCTTAAGATGTATATTATACAATAAATATAATCTTATTTATGGTAAATGTTAGTTATATTTAATACTGTAGCTTATACATATTTATTAATTTCACATCATATTTATTATCTAAAAACAAAGCAAATTTTTACATTTCAAATTAAATTTTATTTGAAACTTTATCGATTCTCCGCGCGAATCTGTGCGTGTACGCAGGTAACCTGGAAGTAGTGCGCTTTGTGACTTATTTTGTAATCGTTTAATCATTAATAAATTATTGATTTACAAAACGTGGTTATTCCACCCCCCATAAATTAAAAATTTCTTTGATTTTGTTTAAAATTCTGTTCTTGTGCGTGAATTCTGAACTGGCAATAAATGTAAATTTAGAATTGTTAAATTTATAACAAACTATGTACTTTGTTTCCCAATGACATTTTTATTATTAATTTAGTTTTTTCGTAATCCTACAGCTAACATCAATTATATATGCAAAAATCAATTACACTTAAGATACACAAAGATGGAATACATAATATTCAAACATTTACGAAAGAAAAAAAATCAATAAAAAGTATTACTAAGTCATACCTAATGAGGCTGTGTTGTGTGATGTACGTACGTGAGAATGTGTATGTTGTGCTCATGATGCAGGTTATTTAGCGCTATGGATATTCTTAATACTGCTTTTAAGGATATTCCGCGATAGCTTCAACGAGTCAAAACTTAAATATATATTTACAAAACTTGTGGTTTTAATCATCTATTCTTCACGTGTAACATTTCTTGTTTTCCAGGGTGACGTATCCACGATCCGCGTGTCAACGTTGAGCGTAGAGCGCGTGTGTACGCTCGTGCGCGATGCGTTGGGCGCTTCGGGGGTGACGTGCGCGGCCGCACTCCAGAGACATCACGTGTGCGGTCTCGTGCTGGCCGTTTGTCGACTTACTGAACTTAGGCCGGTATGTGTTAAAAAAGTATATGGGATCTCATTTAAACTTGTTTTAAAACTTATGATTATAGCTTGAACATTAAAATAATCAGTGGCGCTGCAACCTTTTTAGGTCTGGGCCTCAGATTTCTGTATCTGGCTCATGTTGTTTGTCAATCGGTTCAGTTTCTTTAAAAATGAATAATTTCCAGGTGCTAGACCTACCATTTGGTGATTGGGAGTTGTTCAAAATGTTGATTCTCAATCTACGAGAGCTGGAAGCCACGATGCCCGTTACAGTCCCCGCATTGTCAGGTATTTATTTTGATTCAGGCCGTTTCCGGATAATCCTGCCTCTATTGGCAGACGTAGAAATATTGAGAGTATTATATGTAGCTATAAATAAGACTTCAGATTGGATGCTTAAAGATAATGCTTGACACACACACACATTCATATGACACTACTAACAGTCTCTATTAAGTGGAAGATCCGTTCTTGTGTCTTGTTTCTTGTCTATTTTTTCACTTACCATTGTTTAGCACTTGACACTACGCACAACGGACCAAATGAGCGTCTAAGTGCGGAAATTTAGTCCACACTACTAACACTTGACACTAACGTGCACTAACACTAATTCCCTAGTTGAATAGAAATCTAAATATATAAAAATAATCAATGATTTTCAGTAATTCCGGATAAATCGGGCGACACGGAAACGGAAGTGGTAAAGCCACGACCTGTCTTGGAACATCAAAGATCGCGTCCAACTGTGGTTGAAAAACAGGTAAGGTTTATTTTTGTCTAAGGAAACTTGGTTATTTTCAACTAAACATCGCTTGAAGACAATTCCTGTAAGACCAAATATGAAAAGTCGTTGGAGCTGTCAATAACTGTATAACCCTCCTATAACGCGTTAAACCCGGACCGCGTTGTGGGACTTTCTCGTAAAACCATTTTTTACAATTCAAAAAATAGGAACACGAATTTAATAAAGTTATTAAAACATAATTAAGTTTATAACATCATAATTGAAGGTGCAAAGGTACGCAAAACTAATTTAGCACTTGACAAAACATTATAAATTTAACTTGAGAAATCTCCGCGTTATATGAGGGACTATTAATTTAATTAAATTGGATACTATTCAGATTTTCTTCCAATTAAAATTTGCTTCTATTGTCTTAATAATAAAGTCCAATTTTGTAATTGCAGCCTTACGCGGAATATCAGGTGATTATTTTAGCTGAAAGTAGTTTCATTGCTGTCATTAGAAAACATTATAAGCGTTTTCTTTTATTTTCAAAAAAAAATTTGTTTCGTTAATGTTTGATTTATTTTATTATGAAGTTGATAGGTCACGTTTATCATCATCTTAGTAAACCTTGCTGCTTGTATTGAGATATCCAAAACATTAAACTTTATCATAAAAGTTATCCTTAAAGCAAGGTTTTTCGCTGACCACGGCTGTTCAGAACCTCTCAAAACGTCCTGTTCGAGAACTCGGAAAAATCGCGTTTTAATCAATAATCTATAATTTTTTTCACGTTAAAATAGCTTTAGAATATATTGGACCTTACCTTAAGAAACGGTTTGAGTTATAAGGCCCGGTACGGAAATTTTATGAGGAGTAAAATCAAGTGTAACACGAAAAGTTGAGGCGTTATGTAGAAAGAGACAAACATATATATCTGTAGGATTGAACGTGTAAAAGAATGAGATGAAATACATTACACAGACTTTTCTATTGAATCACGAATCTTGAATTCACGTTTTGACAGCCACGTTACAACATTGTCAGTGTTGACAGGTGTAAAAAATGAAAGTAGATTGTCTAGCGTGCCATAGAGTTTTGTCAATAGTAATGGTCAGTGAAATTAAAACTAAAAAGATTGTTCATTCTTATTCTTCTCTTACTATAAAGGTAACTTTGGTCACAGAAAGAAAATCCTATTTGGGCATAGATGATGTAGGTACGAAATGAAATGAAATGAAATAGTTTATTCTTGCAAGTAGGACTATATAAATCACTTTTACAATGTCATCCTAAACTAGATGAAGTCGACATTTCCTAACTGACTGCCCTGAGAAGAAATGTCGAAACAAACTCGGGGGTCTTAGTCTCTTTTATAGTCCAGATAATACAATAATAAATTAATAAATTGGTGTAAACAAATGCAGAGTATTTACTGGACTGGTCTTTGGAAGAAAGAACCAGATCGATCTGAGCAAGCCTGTGCCAGCAGACGGCAAGCATGCCCCGAATAGCTCATGCAGCTCAACCATATTCAACAAGGCACATAGGCAACAACTCACTCAGATCGCCAGCCCAAAATAACTATATACTAAAATGTATCAAATTATAAATCAAGCAAAAGAGTTTATGATATACCCGCATAATGTTTACACTTACAATGGATACAAAATGTATTTTTAAGGAGTACCTTAAAGCAAGGAAAAAATAATGAAATTGAAAAATATAATCGTAATATAAACATTATTCACTTGGCATGTCAAAGTGTAAAATATTGTATGCACTAAGCACAAAACATGTCAGTAATGTAGAGAAAAAAAAAATGTAAAAAATGAATATGCACTAAGCACAAACATTTTCATTCATTACGTTTTATTACTACTACAAACATTTATATTATAAAAACATATATTCTTAGTTCTTACCACCTTTAGTATGAAAATATAGTCGACAGCCACAGAACATTATCGCCATCTTTGTTCTGCAGTGCATTTGACACAAGCCGAAACTATAAGCCTGGGAAACACCACAGCTTATAAAGTATGGAAGTCGTTCGTGCCGTTTTGTATAGAAATCAAGATTTATTTTAAATAATAGATTATTATTATTATTATTTATATTGTTTTGTAACATACTTTATGTAATACGCTTTATCGAAGTAATAAAAATAATCCGAATAATTACAGATATATGTTTGTTTCTTTTATCATTTTAGCAGATGCGTTCATTTACCCTTTTTTTCTATTCGATATATATCATAATTATAAACTCCAATCGTGCGTCGTAGCTGACACACACACACTTTTTTTTTTAAATATTATTTGTCATCATATATTTAGTTTGAATCATCGTCTAAATGAAAGATATTTCATATAGCTTTAATCCCATTCTCCTCAAACAGGTGACGCTGGAAGAGCAGATGATTTGCGGCGCTCTACAAACCCTGAACGAGGAGGCGATGGAAGACGTGCTCCACTCTGAGGCGCCTTCAGGTGAGCCCCAGCTGCGGACCATTCGCGAGTATCCCCCCTCTCCCCTACCTTCGTCTTCCTCTTCCCCCTCGAACCCTCCAACCCCCCCGCCAGCCTCCTCAGAGGAGGAGCTACGCAGAGATGTCATCGTCAATATTTCGGATGACGTCTTTCTATAGGAACATCTTAATTTACGATATCCCTTCTCCCTTCCTCTTTTCCGTCTCCCTTTGAAGAGTAACAGAGATGTTGACATCTCTGATAGTGTCTTCCTATGAACAGTGGTTGTGTGTACGCCTAGAAGGCATTTTTGGCTTTGCTTAATTCGTTTCTTCAATTGACACAATTTTATTGAGTTTTAACACTTTTCACACGGCTTCAATAGCTTGAGAAAACGAATTTAAGCAAATTCTGGCGACGCAAAGAGCCTTTTTTGTAAGTTGAACGTTGAAAACTAAAAATTTTGTGCCAAAACGCATGTATCAGCGATAATAGATTTTGAATACTCCAAAATCGCTTAGATTAAGACCTTTTTAACAACTGTGTTCAAATAAATGTCTCAATGTACTTTTTAACTCTAAGTACTTAATTTGTAATAAAAATAATGCATGTACGCTTAGTTTAAGTAGCTAATAACACTGCTTCATTTAATTATGCAATGAAGCATTCCTATTAATTTTAAGCTTATCAAAGTATTAGTTGAAATTGTTAAATTGGCTGTGCTTATCATTCACGTGTGATCGAGATACTGATACAGGTTTTGAGAGATCTTGGCCATACTTTGAGTATAAAATTACAGAAATTTTAAGAGATTACACCTGTGTTACGTATTGTTCTTCGTCACGGTAGATGTAACTTTAGAGTCCAGAGTGCCATTATAAGTTAATTACCTCGATCGAGCTGTTTTTTATATTTTCTGTTTAAACAGTTTTGTAAGAATATACAACATTCACGATTGTTAATCACTGAATGACTTAGAGTAAGAATCCGCGAATAGATGCTATTACACTAGAATTGTCATTACATCTGTACACATACATATCAAGTCTATTGTAGTGATATTCGTAATAATCATTCCATTCGAATTCGAAAAAATAAACTTATAAAAATTATTTAGTTGTTTTATTTAACTGAGACCAGTGCCGTGTACAGCGTGTGAAGTCCGGGTGAGTCCAGTACAAAGTGTCGGTTGGTTTCAGGCGAAGAGCGCGAGCCAAAGTCGTCCGTCGCTCGAGGCGCCTCTTGGGCGGGGAGCTCCGCCCCTGCCGCTTCGCCCCGCCCCGCTCCCGCGAGCTTCCGCTCCCGGCGTGATCGGGATCCCCTCGCGGTCACCTTCAAGGTTGAAAACGAGGAGGACTCCGACGACGGCCACATCACTTTCACCGCGAGACCGCGGCCGACGGAGCGGCCGGCTCGCTCCCGTCCCTCTTCCCTCCTCGTCACCGACGACGGTTCGGAACCCGGCGACCGACTCGCCGCTCGCTCTAAATCAGTCGAAGATTCCACTCGCAGCGGTTCCCCGGTCGTCGATCTAAAGTTGCGGAATTTGCGTCGCACCGCCGATATTCTGCGAAAAGTGGGTTCCGCCGAACGATTGACGCGCCTCAGGGAGAAATTCTTTTCTCTCAACTCGGGCTCTCGCGAGCGCAGTCCGCCTCGGGAGGAGCCGAGCGACGACGAATCGGTCCCGCTCGTCTCTTCGCCGACGGTCAGCGCCGCCTCGCCGTTGGACAAGTCTGAAAACGTCGACGCTTCGAAACCGTCGTCCCCGGCGACCACGGCGTCTTACAAGAGATCGCTCGGCGTCGACTGCGGCGATAGAAGCGTTCAAGACTTCACGGTCAGCTCGGACTTCTCCCCGCGATCCGATACGACCGACCTCGAGTCGCCGCGTGAAGGCGGGACCGCGTTCGACTTGTTTCCGGAGACCAAAAGTTGCTCCGGTCCGGCGAAGAAGGCGTATATGGTGCGGGAAGAGAGCAACGGGTCAATATCTAATATGGTCGAACCGTACAATATGAGACTTCTCGCGCACGGGACCACGGAGGGACCCCGGGCCTTATGGAGGCAGGACGCCCTGGATTCCGGTCCGCCTTGGCCTTGGGAGGAGCCCGATTCGGCCGTGTGAGGGCGATAGAAGGGAACGAGCGAAACTCAATATCGAGGCTTACTCGACTGCAGAATATTCGTAGTTCTGACAGATCCAGCTGGATCTTTCGGAGGTACCTTGGCGTATTCGACGAATGTAAGGACTAAGAATATTTATGTATATGATGAATTACTGCACTCAAAAGACATCCGTGTGACTCCGATGCATTTAATATGCCTTGTATGTAGCTGTTAAATGTGATTTTAAATAAATATTATTCCCACTTCGACTCACTGCGAGTAATTTCTTCAATCTAATGCCCGAACCAATAAAACGATTTCAAATGCTTAACATTTTTATTGTACATACAGATCTACAACTGGAAATGAATGAGGTGAATTTAAAATACAATTTTTCATCAAATTTAATGGCAAGAAGGTATTCTCGAAAATATATAAAATTGCATTGATTTTAAGAAAGACAAGTTTATTTCACGTTATGCGAGCGACATATATATGAAATCTGTCGCAATGAGCTTTATTGGTTCAAAATCACATCCGCCTACATCGCTGTACAAATAAATACTAAGTACAAACCTAAATAACGCAACTATATACATAAAGGAACCGATTAACGTAAAATTAATAGCCGCACTACGTGTATATCGAATATAAAAACAATTAAGAGATCATGTTTCACGTGGATGTATGAAATATACGCCTTACAAGTATACAAATTCAACAATACCTACAATTGGGAAGTGGATTCCTTCAAAGCCCGACATAAATTCGTATATAATCCTCCCTGTAGCGTACTTGAAACATGCCATGCCATAGCCATGCCCGTGACTGCGCAGAATATATAATGTAGCCTTTTCAAAGTAATATTCTATGTAACTTTTATCGTTTAACCTTAATTGAGAAGATATAATAAACTAGCGCAATTTCTTTGCAATTTTTAACAAGGCAAAAGCATGGTTAATTTAAACCACAATCTTCATAAGCCGGGGCCTAGAGGCAGTCTCCACGCCGAGCGTGAATAGGTTAATAATTAGGATATCCTTTAAATAAATGGAAAAAAAATTGAGGATTCAAGTTTGGTCTATCCGGCGAAGCTATGCACAATACTTTGAAATGTAAAAAAAAAGTCGTTTTCAAACGTTCACGTCTAGATATAAAAATAATTAAGTAGCATCTAAACATAATTTGTCGGAGCATATAAATTCAGATCTCACTTCTACGTCACACATTTGATCGACCTATTTACAAGTGGCACACGAATCCTAATCTATTGATTAACTAAAAATATAAAAATACTGTTTTTACTCGAAACAAATAACAACTGTACATAAAATAAACTAGTATAAAAATAAATAATGGATTCTAGAGAAAATTGAGTCGACAATATCACACTTCAAACAACTTGTATCTTGCTGAGGTTACCCGCGCTGTCTTCTATGACTTTATCGGGGGGATCCGAGGACGAAGCGCTCTGGCGCTTGTTGTCCTGGACCTCCAGAGCTTCTTCCGCATCGGAAGGCATTTTCTCATCGCGCGAGCTCTCAGGTTTCTCGTCGCCGGAATCGTCTGGTTTTTCTTCCGAGTCGGCGGGTTTTTCGTCCGAACTCTCGCAAAGAAGGAGTGGCGTCGGTGTCGGAGTGGTGAGGGAGCTCCACCACCCGGATAGGGCTCCGCGGGCCTGGGACAGGGCTCCGCCCACGGCCCGAGACGTCGTGGCTACCGCCCGACCGGTGGTAGCCACGGCTGCGCTCACTTTCCTGCCACCCTCCGTTGTGGACATGGTGCTAAATTACAATTAAATTATTATAAAACACTAAATTTAGTTATTTCTTGCATCTTTTCTTACATACACATACTTATTGTAATTGTATTTTATTTTTTATTTTTTTTGTTACCAAAATTGTCATATATATATTAGAAAAGATATAAGATATTAATAAATTCCTGAATTATTAGCATTATTAATGCTTACAGACAAAAAGACAATTAAACTGATTAAAATAGGCATATAAATTTACGAATATTTTCTGAGTACTTACTGTGCAAATTTCAACTTCATGTCGGCCACAGAAAGTTGACCAGCGAAGGGGTGCATCGGAATCAAGTTCATGAAAGCTTCAACATCACCATTATTAGTTATTTTCAGCCATTTCTCATATGTATGAGTCGCCTTGAAAGCAGCCATGAACTGTGAGTTATATGATTCTATTTCTCTGCTTCCATCTGCAAGATATACAAGTCATGCAATTTCTGTATATGTTAAGTGAGTTTCTATTTTTATTTGTGTTAAAATTAATTAACTTAGCATAGTATTACTATAAATAAAAACATGAAATAAGTTTTTGTACCTGGTAGCAACGATGTCCTTAGAAGGTAAATCAAGTAGGTGGCGAACTGATCTCTTATCCATGCATCCCCTTGAGTAGGACCATGCCGTACCACATGATCTGCAAATCTAAGATCTTCGGTACCGAGGGTAAGCTGCCTCCTCAGAGCAACGTCTGCTGTCTCAATTCGCATTTCATTCAACTCTACAAGAACATCAAACAGCTGTCTTTTCTGTTTAAAAAGCACATTTGAAGCGCCAACCACAAACCCTTGAACGGCAGAATCGGACAGTAGGTCTAGGTACTGCAGAGATAAATATGGCAAACAGAGATACCCATCTTCAAACAATGGCAGTGGAAAGCCACAATCGGCCTGATCTATTTGTCCTATCAAATTATACAATCCGTCCACACTCATGTCCCTTGCCATTGTGGGACTTTGTTGAGCTTCATTTACGCATTTCTGAGGTTTATACTTTTCACCAATGCTGTGACATTTTTCTCTACCAGGTAACTCTTGCACGTCTGCCAGTAACGTTTCATCAAAACTTTGTCTGCTGACTCTATCTTTCTCATCAAAAAGGTTTCCAGTTTCTTTCGGCGACAGAACCTCCACCAAACTGTTACCATTAAAAATTGGGTCACTTGCGTTTAGAGCATTAAATTCTTCAGTATTAACTTCTATGGCTGTTGTTACTGGTGAAAGGGGTCGTGATAGTCTGTAATTTACAGAATAATATTTTTTATTTCTGCTTCACTGACTAGTCAATAGACTAGACTTATTCTAGATTACAATGTCATTATAAGATATTTGTCACAAAGATAGTTTTCACTTTAAAATTAGATATACATTATAAATACTGTTATTACTATTATAATATAAATGAATATTAAAACAATACATACAAGGTGACATGTTGGCTTCTTATATTATTGCAATTTACTTATATATATTTTTTTCTATTGTTGGTTATTTTAAACCAAAACCAACAAGCAAATATTAAAGTAACAGCTAATATGTATATGGTATATGATATTTATATGTAAATATGTCATTTTTATAACAACAATTTTTATGAACAATCATTCTGAATAATTCAAGATATTCAATGTATATAAATAAAAATTAGGGGAGAAATATTGTGACAAAGATCATATTACTTACACAACATTAGCTGACTGTGATAGCCCATATTCTAAGCAACGAGGCAGTAGCGAAATTACAGTTAGTAATGCTGTAGAAAGCTGTCCTGCAGGAGATCCATATATGACAACTTTACGACTCAATAATAATAATTTGAATAGTAAAAGTGCTTTGTGCCTCCAATTTTCAATTAATTTTTGCACAGATAATCCTGTAACAAAAAAAGTTCAGTATGTACCAAAAACACTTGTTAATACTTGTTAATAGCAACAATATTAGTTACATACCTTCCAAACATTGATCAATTTGTACAGGGCAACTATTAAGATGATTATATGCATCTTCTAAAAGCTTTGTCTGAGAAAAATCACCTTGCAGGAACCAAGCCCTTACAACAAGTTCCATTTTAACCGCCAGTCTACCAAATAAAGGTGCTTGACAAATAACACATACACTCTTCTGAACAGAACTTCTTGTCATGTCTTCAGTTTTTTGAACAACTTGCTGAAACATTTTAAATGTCTCCGTATAGTAAAAGTGTTAAAAATCTTGAAATTACTGATATATTGCAACATACCTCAACAGGAATTTGTCGGAAACATGATACACCATAAACAGTTCTTGCAGAGTCACTTAAGTCTGGCAAGTTGAAAAATATTGTGTCAGAAAGATAATTGTGTGAGCCATCGGGTAAAGCCAATGCTGGTAAATATCGCCAAGCAGGTGGAAGTTCTGAGGGTCGCCCGGGAACTAATTCAGGGTAACAGTGTTCTACCTAAAACACAATCGAATTGTTATTGTTTTTTAATTCATTAACCTTAATTCGATCTAGTTTTCTCTAAAATTTTATATTAATTTTATGATATCGATTTTAGGATGAAACGCCTACCTGGCATCCTTTTTTGTGGTGAAAACCAACTACTATAATGTTTAACACTGGTTCGCTTATGAATGCCATATTTGTTGTTTCAAATTTTATCAAAAAGTAAACATATTCATTAATTTATATAATTTGCGCAAATGCAAAAGACAAAACAACACAAAACTAAAAATTTCATTTTCCCATTTTTTACTTTTGCCATGAATGACACTAAATAAATGACAATGACTTATAACCTGACATCAGATCTAGCTACAGATCATATAGAGTTATACATGAACTCAGTAATATTTTGCTTATTTCTTAAATTAATTAAAAAGTAAATTTATCTCTAAAACGTAGATTGGAAAGAAAGAATGTTGTTTGAAATAAAGATCTTAATCGTGTAGATTAAAACGATTTTTAAATTAACGGAACATACGTATATACATAAAAAATACTAAAAAGTTTTCTTCTGGTTTATAACTTTTGGTCATTTCTCTTTCTCGCCAAGTTCTTGTCATAGTGTTATCTCTTTTGCTCTTTGGAATCTTTCTATTATCTCACTCACTCATTAGCATTACCACATTAAACATTGCTCTATAATCTTTATCTCTAGAGATTTCAGGTTTTATGAATTCACGATCTAAATTCTAAATAGTAATTTGTATTTTTTGATTGTTGAGATGGTAACTTTTTAAAGTGACCTACGTTTTTTTATAGTATGGTACTTTATTGAATAGTAGATATCATTTGAAGTAAGTTCATTTCCATTTTCCAATTATCCAAGTTAAAATTAAAACGACCGCTTGTTTACTGTTTATTTGTGATATGATACGTTAATCTTGAATGCGTCGCCATTTTCGCACTTATTGCAATCGGCTGCAAATAGAAGGTGTTTTAAAAGAAAAAGGTACTGTGAAGTGTTAAAGATTTGTGCGATTCATTAGTTGTCAACATTACTTAATTTCATCCTTAGGAAGAACTGAAGTGTGGTTGTTTGAACTCGACAAAATAAATTTAGAAGAGGTTAGAAACAAGAATCATAAATATATGACTTCTGTTTACATATTTTTAAATGTAATCACGACAAATTTATTTCTTCCGACTTATCTATTTAAGGCGAACAGAATATTACAAGAATTTAACTATTTATAACAAAAGTCATTACATCAAGAAATTTTAATCGAATTTAACAGAATTATGTCATGTTCAAACAACCTTAATAAAATTTGAGTAATGAAATATATAGATATGATCAAAGGTTAATAAATACTTATCATCATGTGTGTTTTCATTATTTATAATTTATTTACTGTGCAAAATTATTTTAATATAATAAATTATGATTTTAATATTCTAGTTTCTTGTTAGGACAAGAATGTTCATGTTATGATTTAATAAATACACAGGATCTCTTTAGAAGTCCAGTCACCTTTGCTTAAGGTATTACGACAGATCTCTTCACTAAAAAACCTAACGGTTTAGTTTGTAAAGCCCTAGAAGAAGTTAAAAATTTATATTATAATTTTGTTGCAGTGTTAAATGGGTAACCTCATAGAACAACAGGCATGACGGAGAAAGTTCTTCACCCAGGTAAGTTATTTCATACTGTTGCAATTAGAGAAATTATATGAGTGTTTCTACTTACATATAATGTAAAAAATAAGTACTGGTATAATTCCAGTAAGTAAGTTTGTTTGACACAAAGAAATCAAATAATTACACTTAGCTATTAGAAATACAATAAAAGTATGCAATATAGCCAAAATATTAGTAAAACTCAATCTTAAAAGTAAAGTATTTATTTAAAGAATATAAATAATTGTTATAAAACAATTGTATTTTTAAAACAATATTATCTAGGTTGAATATATAATTATTTGTTAATGTTTTGGGAGTTTTTTATAGCTGGTTACAAATTGACTGATTTTGTATAATTAAGTAAATGTAATATATTAAATTTAAGTATTTTAATAGGTGTGAATCGCACATTTCATTGACGATTTAATAGTGTATATTCTAAATTACAAATTTACATACTATTTCCAATACACTAAGATAGTAAAATATCTAGCATCTGGTCGAAACGGTTAATAAATAATATAAAAAAGCAATTTACATACATTCTACAAAAGATCAGAATTTGCATTACTTTAGAATAAATTTTGTGAAGTTTTCCTCTATTTTGATACCTAAGATGATTTTAAATAGACGTCGACTGACGTCTTGAATGGGAAGTTTAATATTTGCCGCGTTTTTTAAATAAAAAGTAAATATTTTCATATTTTTTTGTATCTGCTTCATGGCAATCTGCTATCCAGCAATAAGCCACTTGTTTGTTTGATTTTACTCAGTTCATGTTATCCTCAAGAGCCATACTCGACATAGAGCCACGACTCTCTTGATGTTAAGAGGTAAATCTTTTATATAGGCTCGGTACGTCCCTTCTTTTTAGCCGCTTATGCTGAAGACCGCCTTCTCCGCTCAGAGCGTGTGCCAGTTTATTTACATGGGAGGTCAGCTTCTCCTGGTATTTCAGGCTGTTTTGAGCTATTTCCTGTCGAACTGTTTTTAGGCCGAGGTCGAGGTATATGTACCTATTGCTTATACAATGTGGGATGCCAAACATTGTTCTCAGAGCTTTGGTCTGGAATCTCTCCAAGATATCTATGTTACTGTTGCTGGCCGTTCCCCACAGTTGTATCCCGTAAGTCCAGATTGGTTTTAAGGTGGTTTTATACACTAGCATCTTGCTGTTGGGATTAAGTTGTGATTTGCGTCCTAGTAACCAGTTCAGTGTCCGCAGCCTTCCATCCAGTTGTTTGCGCTTTGTCCAAATATGTTTTTGCCATGTAAGTTTCCTGTCTAGGTGCATGCCCAAGTATTTTGCGTTATTTTCTTGAGGGATAACTTTGCAGTTTAGCGTTACCGGAGGACATGTTTCTCTCCTAAGAGTAAACGTTACATGTACCGATTTGCTCTCGTTGGCTTTAATTCTCCAATGCTTCAGCCACCTCTCAACTTCTATCAGGTGGTTTTGCAACTGTGATGAGGCCGTTTCTGGGTTGCTATGAGCCGACAGAAGCGCCGTATCATCAGCGTATGTCGCAGTCGTGGTGTAGTTAGTTGTTGGGATGTCTGCTGTAAAAATGAGGTATAGTATAGGGCCCAATATACTACCCTGAGGGACACCTGATTTTAATTCGTGTACTTCTGAGAGATCATCGCCGTACTTCACTTGGTAGCATCTTTTTTAAATAAAAAGTAAATATTTTCATATTTTTTTATTTTCGCGTTTTTTAGTATGAAGAAGTTATTTTATGTATAAACATAGATTGAAACTATTAGTATTTTTGCTGGATTTTATTTAATTCTAAGTGATATACAATTTTTAAATATTTAAGTTTAGCTGTAGATAGATTTTTTCAACAGTAAAACACGAAAAATATTTCCAGATCCACTTGTACTTTTATTTAAGACATTTAATTGTCTAGAAGCTTCTAGTGCCATTATTATTTTAATAAACAATATAATATAATGTGGTTAATAAGTTATGACGTCTTAAAGAGTATTTTAGTGCCATTTTGATATTAAATTATGTTCTTTCGGGACAATTTAGTTTTACCTAACTCGTATTGCTATTTCTTCATTTTTGCGAGATGTTTCTCTTATATTGTGAGATTGTTGACGTCTAAGCTTATCTTATATCTTATTGGGTTTTAGTAGAATGTGCTTTGGATTCGCTAATAAAAGTGTAATAATCTGACCTAATAAATATACATATTGGGTCGTGAGACAGGCACATTTCTGTTTCTGTTTCATTTATTTCTTTTTGAGGCGAGTGATCTTCTGTATCTTGACACTCGTCATTGATTTTTACGTTGTTTTCCCTCACCGTACGAGCATGACTTGCTCGTACGGTGAGGTACGGTGAGTTGCATAGAAAAATTCATTCGTGTACAAGCAAGTGCGAACCCACGGCCACAGAGTGGAACACTACGTTACAAGTAAGAGTTTGATAGAAGACAATGCGTTTGAAGGTTTAGAGCAAATCCTTGTTCACCGTTTAAAACCAGAAAAGCGCCATTTGCATTTCGCACACAATAAAACTCAAGTATTGTTATTGCGATGCGATATATACAAATGTTTATATATAAAATAATTTAAAGGTTATGTTGGGTAATATGGTTAGTACATGCGCTCGGTGCTATGGAGTACTGGATGCTGTAACACTTATGCCTAGATCCCAAAATTCGTAACTAGTATTTGGTAGGTACAATGAATTAAATTGATTACATTAATAATTATTTATTAATGTAATTAAATTTCTATTAAACAGTGCCAATCTCAGCTGCGGCCTTGTGAAGAACACACACGGTGTGTAACTGTTCGATTCCCGGCGTGTTAAATGTTTTGGGTTTGCTACTAGTGTACCTGAAATTACCAATGAAACAAGTCTGTTTACTGTTTAGTGAATTACTTAATAAACTAATTGTGGTAAGATTTGATTTAGACATAAGTAATTTTATAATAACTAGAAGTCGTATATAATATGACCGGTCGGTTTGTATGTACACTGGTTTAAGTGTGTGCATCGTTTGACGCATCGCAGTTGAATCTTTATATAGGTACGTTGCGAGGGCCGAAGAACTATGTAAAATTAGTACATAGAGCGTGGATCGATTCTAGTTGTCGACGCGACCACATTTGTGTAACATTTGTAGTAACGAATATTTACTTGATATTTTATATTGAAGTGTATTATGTAACACAAAAATCTTTATTTTTTTTACTCTTAATTTTCGCCCATGCGCACCCTTGTTAGTATAAAATGACGGTAAATATTAAAAATGAAAATTATGCGTTATTAGAATTTTTAAATCCCGACTAGATTATACAAGAAAATATTGAGATTTTGGGGTCAAATTATATCATCAGCTAGGCATCTTGACTTAATAGGTTGGGGAAAAAGTTTCTTCGCATTTTTTAAGAAGATTCAAAACATTGTTTAAAATAGTTTATTTACATTTAACTAAAGTATGTAGATACCATTTTGTTCGATAACTTTTTGCCATCATTTAGGTAGGGACATGATCCCATTGCTATAGAAACTTTGGGGCTTCTGATCAAAATACCGCGACAATTGGTTTTGGCAGTCCTCTCGTGATGTTAACCTGACACTGCCTAAAGAATTCTGAAGAGACTGAAACAGGTGGAAATCTGAAGGTTCAAGGACTATACGTCGGATGCATTATCACCTCCCAGCCAAGCTCTCTTAGTTTTTGCTGAGCGGCTAAAGATGTGTGAGGTCTAGCGTTATCATGATGAAAAACCACACCCCTTCTGGTGATTAATTCCGGCCGCTTTCTCTCAACTTCTTGCTTTAATCTCATCAGTTGTTCGCAATAGAGTTCAGAATCGATAGTCCTGCCTGGTGGTAACAGCTCATAATGAATAATGCCCTCCCAATCCCACCACACACACAGCATCACCTTGTTGCGAGTTATCCCGGGTTTCGCCACAGTCTGTGTAGCCTGACCGGCCTTTGACCACGACCTTTTTCGCACGTTCTTGTCGTACGTGATCCACTTTTCATCACCAGTTATCAGCTTCTTCAAAAATGGTTCGGTTCCATTAAGTCGTAATAAAGAATCAAAAATGAGTACACGGTTCATTAGGTTTCTTACAGTGAGCTCGTGAGGTACCCAAATATTGAGCTTTTTTGTGTACCCAGCTTTTTTAAAATGCGCCAAAACTGTTTTGTGGTCAATTCCCCGTTCTTCAGCTACGTCGTAACTACTGATATGCCGATCTTGCTCCACTTTTCCAAAAATGGCATCCATTTTATCCCTCATAGGGCGACCAGAGCGACTTGGATCTGTGACATCAAAATTTCCGGATCGAAAACGCTTAAACCAATTTGTGCTTCTGTCACAGACACTGCGCTAGGGCCATATTAACATCACAAATTTTTTTCGCGGCTTGTGTTGCATTTTGACCTTTTTTGTAGTAAAATTTTAAAATGTATCGAATTTCTTCATTCGATTCACTCCTCTTGACGGTACGAAAAATAAATAAAAAAGTAAAAAACAGACATTATCCTAATTTGATTTTGGAATTATCTTCTTTAAAATCTCAACATTCCTTGATAACAAAACCAGCCAGTTCATACATACTATAATGCGAAAAGACTTTTTCCCCAACCTAATATTAATGTGTTTGTTTATATTGCAGTATGCATTACTTTATGTTGTTTGCATGTCTATAACCGTGGTGAATATATGGACTCAAGAAAATATAGTACCAATTCTTAAAAGGCCGGCAACGCAGTCGCCAGCCCTCTGGCATTGTGAGTGTCCATGGGCACTTAACATCAGATGAGACTCCTGCCCGTTTAACTCCTATTCTATAAAAAACCAATACCTTTTTAGTTTCTCGCCGTTTCCCGTGATGTCTGGGATTCCGTTATCATTGACTCTGCTAATATTACAATCAAATGCAATACTTTTTTAACAGATTTATCTGGACAAATCTATAATAGAGCAACTCTCGTGGGTTAGTTATTAGTGACGCGTAAAATTGTGTAAAAGAAAGTTGTCGGAAAGTGTATAGTCAAATAATTGAAAATTTTGGCATAACTATTAATTATGAATATATATATATATACTCTTGTGTTTGGTTGAATCATGGACACGTGACGTAACTTCTTTCTCAGTTTAGGGTCTTTGGTATATTTAAAATCTCTTAAAATTGTATTTGAATGTTTCAAAACGAGAAATCTGCGTTTATGCCTGCAACAATTTAGTTACATTGGATAATTGCGCTGACACAAATTATGAATACTGTGTACACTGATTGTATTGTCTACATTGATGTTATAAGTCATCTGAGGGCCAGTGAACTGGGCCTATTGCCGTTCTACGAGTGCGAGTGAAACCTTGCTTCCTCGAGGTCAATGAACTCTTCATTTTACTGCATCTGTTGCAAATACTTGAGTGTGCATCGCTGCCACCAATTCTATTAAGTTCCACACGCTTTTCGCTGCCTAGCCAAGTGAAAAAGTCGTTTGCGCTATAAAGAAACTCTGTGCGAGGTTGAATTGCCAATAGAAAGTTTATACTGGAGTTTCACTGTTAATTCTTATTAATAACCATGTTTGTATTGAATCTAGGGCACGTCAAATGTATCACCAGGTGGTTGAAATAGTAATTTTATCGTGTTTTTCGTATATTTTGACGTAAATACGTAAATATGTACTGAGCGTCGTAAAAAATCTCGCAGGCTAGATATTGCGATGTGGTGTATCAGTCATACGATTTTTTCTTTTAAATCATCTCCCATATATAGGACTCTTTGCTGTTATTGCTGTACAAATGTTGTCTTGTTTTATTAAATAAAATATGAATATAAATAAATATCTTGCTGAGACGTATAAAGATTTTATGGCTGCCATCGCGTTTTTAACATTATTTTTACAGACGTAAATTGTTGTAAGAGCTGTATAAATATTGTTACATCAAATTCCGTTTAGTAGTTTTTGCGCGAAAGATCCATCCATGCTTCCTTACAGACTTTCGCGTTATTAGCAGTTGGATATGAACATGTATATTCATAATTTGATAATCTATAATTAAAATGATTTCTAAACGAATTTAATCGAGTGTTTATGGTTCATTTTTGTTTAAATAAATGGGGTCCATTCTGAATCTATATTTTCATTCTGTGGGTCTAACCTTGGAATTAGTTAAGGGCCCTTTTCTTTACCGGAGTTTGACAATTCGGGTTCAGCGGTTTATGGCTATGATCTTTGCCCAAAAACAAACAAAAAGCATTGCTTTTAGATAAATGTCGTGGAGATGTGTGTATTATTTGATTATAATTATATGAACTGAATTCTGATTAGTGCATAGTTTTTATCATTCCAATAAATAGAGATACGCCGTTGTTATGTTGAATATTATGTTATCTAGTAACAGTGGATTGTTGATGTGATTCATAGGTTTGAATTTTTATATTGTTGTTGAGATGGAAAAGTGTTAAATGTCGACACAGGGTAGGGAAAGATCTGGGTGTTTTAGGGGTGCGGTCGGTGGAATGAGGGAGTTATATAGTGACGCGATCACGTGTACATTTTGCAGCCTGTATTGATCCTGTCGTCTTTTTCTTGTTAAATGCGGCAGCTCAGCGTGATTTCCGACAGTTTTCGACCCTGATCGATGTAAATTTTGTTTGTTTTCTTAATTTGTCTGTAACATGTTCCTCATACTTAAGCTTTGTCCGGTCATATATGCCTTGTTTTTTTAATATAACATAGTATAACTATTTTGAGTAGAATGTCAAAATTATTTTGATAGCAATGGCGTTCATGAAATTTTAGTAGAAAATGGTTTTGTCAAGGTCTCGCCTATAAGAGAAGTTTGCTTCTTAGCATTAATACAATTAAGACGTAGTGAACGGGTGTCGGCATTGTGGCAGGTGGCATCAGATCTCTCCAGAGCCCAATAGCAGCGTTGTAGTGTTCGGCTCCGATGCGAACTGTGTTCCCGTTTTGGGTGCGTGCCATTATTTCTTCATTTTATTTTTCTTTTAAAATCCGGTATCTGTATTAGGAATCGAATTCGAAAAGAGCTATTTCAATCTTTGCAAACCTCTTTTGTATTAAATAGTGCTTGTAAATTTATTACTTTATATTGATGAGATAACATTGATGTCTTTAAATTGTATTTTTGGCCGTGTCCTTTTACCACGGCAACGTTTCGGCCATATCCCCAACACATGTGAATTTACCAATATATCGAGGGGCTTTTCGTGAGAGTTGTGTTATTTTGGTAGACATAGCAATAGTTCTAATAGAGTGTAGAAAAGGTGAACATGATTTGAGATAGCATGCGTGTGCTCTATTTTAGTCGCGGTGGCACACTCGGCGGCTAATCGCCGCGTCACGTGGCCATCGCCGGAAGGACGAGGGGTGAGGACCCGCGGACGAGGTAGGGACGTAGGAATGCAGTCACCACCGCGCTCTGCACGACTCGCCGATTGATTGTTCAACTTCTTTGTACTTATTATGCTTCCATTCGCGAAATTATCTTGTCCAACTGTTAATTCGCCGCTTACAGCGAGCTAGCATAAGAGGTCTTGGGAACTTAAAATATACCTTATGAAGATAATCATGCCTTAAATTAAATGATATGATTGCATATTGCAATTAATTATCTCTACCAATAACGGCAGGCATAAGAATTAACAGTTGAGTGTTGAGTTTTGCTTCGTGAATGCATTTATTATTGCAAAAAGTGACTGCTCGCAAATGAAGTGTGCTGACTGATATTGCACTCGATGTGATTTCCTTTCATTTCTTGTAATATATGTATGTAGTGACTAGTGATGTTCGGCACTTATTACAGTATCGTTAGATGAAATTGTGGAGTAGAGGCAAGTAATTGCAGCGCGCGGATTGCAGGCGATCGCCCCTCGCCCCGCTGGGGCGGCCCGCACTCGAACACCGTAAGTAAACAGTCTGGTGTTTATCCGCGTCTCGCTCACACCGACCGCGTCGCGTCGCGCTTCTGAGGTGCACTCGCTATTCCTATTATTTTCGTGACGGGTATTGCGCCGAAGCCGATTCCCGCATCCTCGCCCCGAGACGTGAAGTCCGGTCTCGCGGTGGAGGTGGCCGTTCGCATCGTACGCTAGTACACGCCCGAGGCTGTCCCGTCGCGCGGGTCGCGGCTAATGGAACGTTTGTTTTGCCCGCTCCCGGCCCCTCTGTTATACACGAAAATAATGCGTCACGTCCGATTGATCGACTCAATGTTACGTGTGCGCTACGGATCCGATCGCCTCAGTGACCGATAATGTTATTGGGTTCCGTATAACTAATTGGAAAGTTGATGTGTCTGTGGTGGTGACAGTGTGTGGATTGTGCCCCGGGTGTGCTGATGCTACACGTGAATGTGGATGGTGATAGTGGAGTTGGAAGATGCATTTCAAAGAGTCGTTTGCAATGAGCGATCGTCAGAACGAGCGCGGCCGCCGCAACTCTCGCTGCAAGGGTGGGTGTTTACAGTGACAGCTCTTAATACTGTTATGATACTGTCACACGTCTTGTCAGCTGTCACTTCGCTAGTTTCATTGCTATCATAACTTTAGTTTTTGTATATATTTTTATGATGGCCGTTAGTTTTCTCATGCATTTACTTTTTCCATTTGTAAGTTATGTTGAAGGTCACACATACATGCACGGAAGATAGGAACGTATGGTTTAGGTACAAGACGTTTATTCGTGTTCGTGTTTGACACTTACGTATTAAGAGTAATGATAATAAGGTATGTTTTGAAATGGATTTTGGTTTGGACCTGTTTTGGTTTTGGGTATCGAAAGTTAAGCGTAATTGTACGCAATGATTTGTTTTCTAATAGATAAGTTACCAGTAAAGAAAGAGTAAAATAGAGTCGTGTGTTTATAATTGTTGGATTTTTTTATTACATTATTATTGATAACAGCGAATTAGTTAATTGTTCGTGTTTTAGGCAATTAATTATACAAGATAATTTTTTATGTTTTAATATGTTTGTTCAATGTCATTGAAATTTGATATAGTATGTTATGTATATATGTTATACTGCTATTAACTAATGGGTGTTTCAAGTATTGCATTTATGATATAATAGTTGTGGATTATTTGATAGATTTACATGAAATGTTACCAGCGCTTAAAATTCGTGAATACAAAATACGATAGCAGAGGTACACATGTTACAAGGACACTTACACGGGTCGGTATTTTATCTAAAAGCCGCACTCTGAGTCGCCCATTATATTATGTCCAATAGTGCAAATGCATATGATACGGTTAGGAAAATTTTCATGATTTAGTGATTTAGCAGAAAAGTGATGTTTAACTTCCAATATTATCTTTAACTAAATTAATAGTGAACGGCTTGTACGACTGTTAGATTAAGTAAAAAAATACTTGCAAAGCTTATTCTTTTTAGTCTTATATTTTCATACTAAATTATTCGTATTATATACTCGTAGACGCGAGTATTTTTCTTTAAATCAGACAATGGCGGTATTGTAGGCCTCTGAAAACGGAGGTGTAAGGGGGGTGGGGGGGACACAGAGGATGGAGGTGAGATCATAGTGGCGAGTGGCCTGGGGTGGCGATCAATATGTACATTGAGCATATATACATATAACAACCTATATAAATAACCGCACCTAACTTCTCTCAACTCGTCTGTCTGCTCCAGATACTGCGCCAAAAACCCCCTCTCACCCCTCACCTCACTTATTTTTTTAATATCAAGATTAAATCAATATATATTTGTAGGACATAAGTACGAACAGTTGTTCGCTCTACGAAACTTAGTTCGTATGTAAACATTGTTATTTTATCCTATTTATCGATTCACGCATAATTAATACATGCAAATTGTTGTATAGTAGTAGTTTTTGACTAAGTCCCAGATTTGATATTTGGAGTTAAAAGTGGTTTTTAAAAAAATATCGTCTAAATTAGTTGTCCAGAAATTGCGCTGTTACTTTTAGTCATTGCTTACAAGTATTATAGATCCACAACAGAATATGTATCCCCTGTTGACTATTAGAACACGATGTAGCTCTGTTTCAATAATCACTGATCTTGCCGTCTCTGTCGTACATTTTTTATTTCTCGGGTTTTTAATTGTTCGCCTATATCAGTGGCTGTGTTGATGTTTTTTCACGCAAAACATAACAGGGTGCCCGTGATTCTATTGTAAATGCTTATGCGTAAAACATTTTAAGTTTACCTGATTTGAGATATACCTTGTATTAGGTAAAACTTGTATACACATGACACACACATATTCTTAGCATTGTTTACAATTCTCTAGACAATTGAATTTCAATGTTTATCATCCAAGGATAGTAGTTCTTATAAACAAAAGTGCGTAATCCGTCGTAAATATCACATTCAACTCTAATAACACCCCTCTTTTGAGGGTTAATATAAAGGCGTGACCGAAAAGGGACGATCAATGATAAAAATTTTAGCCTTAAACAGAATTCATACTAAACAGTCATATTATGACAATATTAAACGAGAAAACATCCTTATAAGTCAATTAGGGAAAACTGTGAATTTAAATTGTTTCTTTCATTTTTGTTTTAGTAAAGCTAGACGATGTAATAGTAATTTTGTATGGCAGGCGCTGGCGTCAAAATGGAGCACTTCCAGGCGGCGCTGGATCCTCGCAAGCAGGAGCTGCTGGAGGCTCGCTTTCTAGGCGCCAAGGTCAGCCTTTATTCAATTTATTAACAAAACCAGCCATACTTGCTTCGTTACCTTGAATTCGAAAGTGACGTTATCGTTTAATTCGTAACCTAAAAATACACGCTTCGAACTTATCCGACTCGACGACAGATGATATTCAAATTATGCGCAATTCATCTTTGCGCTACGTCTATCAAGTTTTCTATTTAAAAGATTTTTATTTAAAGCGGGGTTTTACATACAAATATTAATGACTTAACGTAATGTTAAATGCAAGTTTTAATTAACAATTGCTCCGAGACAATTACTTGATTCTTTTGTTCTCGCATTTCCCGCATTGGTTAGTTCGTTTTATTGGTACTGTGGAGACGTTGCTATGTCTCATTGAGCGACGTCACCGCAAAACAAGCTCACGCTTACGTGTACGAAAGAAAATGGCGGCCCATCGCGATTCGAGTGCACAATGGAAAAGCAACGATTCTCTATAAATAAAATGGTTAATGCCGGCGAAACGTTTTTGTACAACGGCACTTATAGTACAAAAACCTTGTAACAATCGCGCTATATTGTATCCTCAATAAGTTTTTTAAACGGTTTATAATTTAATTTTTATATAATTTTAAGCTTTTGAGTTGTGCCCTTGTAGAAGTAATGTGTTAAGTAATTAAGCGCCGTTTAATAAGCGAAAAATATTATAGTATGTCTGCGGTAATCACGAGGCAACTTCGCGGCCGTGTCACATGCTTATAAATTAATGTTCATTGTGTAGGATAGCTGTATAAATGTGTATTATGTATAGCGATCTCAGCCAAGTGATGTGGTAGGATATGTAATTCCATTATGTGGCTCGCCTCCGTTCGTCTACCCCGCCCCTTCGTCGTACCTCAGCCCCCTTTCTGCCCTATTGACGCGTCGTTTTATCGCGCCACAGCACTGCTTCGTTTCTAAAACTTATTCAAATAAATCTACATTACGTTATCGATCGTTTTCAAGTTTTATTTCACTTGGGAGTCATCGCATGAGCTGTTTAATAATAATAATCCAAAGAAATCTAGACTAAACGATGGCTTCAGCAACTCTCCACATATGCTTGACATATTTGGTACGTTATTTAGTTAGCATTTTATTGTTAACAAGATGGCGTGGCAAATGGTTTGCAGATAATTGTATTAGGGACATCGAACTTTTTTCAATCTGCAATGAACAAATAGCTCAACTAGCAATCAGAGCAGAACGCGTAAACTTCGTTTAAAAGTCGAAGCAATTATTTAGTTATATGGAAGTTTATACCTACGAGATTTGTTTTATCAATTTACATTGTGTTCTATCCTCTTATCATGGGTTTTGTCACTAAGCGCCTCTTTGCAGGTGAGCGCGGGGGCGGTACTGGTTGAAAGCCAGCGTGTTACCGAGTTCAAACCGGTGAGTTATTTTTCGTCCGTTCATGCCCTATTTACACTGTCGTAGAAATATTTAACACGAGATATTTTTAATAATAACGTTTAGCGCTTGCGGTCTGTCGAGCGCCGTGTCACCTTGATATCAATTATTCAAGTGAGGGAGTCGTATTGATTTTGAAATAAGACAGCATAGCGACGACTGAATGAGCACTTGTTTTTTTATTCATAAGATAAAATGTTATTATATAAACATTTTATCTTATAGCTTGACTATATTAACCACAAGTTCCTGTCTAAAAGTTTAAATTAAATTATTTTGAATGCTATTATTAATTTGTAGGTTTAAAATATGTTGACCACGATAATATAAGTGCGTGCTCCTATTTCACCATGCCTCCTGCTGATAGAAGACAAATCTTTGTTTTTAATTTATTTTATTATAATATATTAATTAAGATGTCATGTGGAACATGGTGTAATGGTTGCAGCTCCTTACAAACGTGTAAAATAAAAAAAACTTGGCGATTAAAGGCTGGCGGAGAGTTTATTGTTCTACGCCTTTGATTTGAGAACTGGCAGTATATGTAAAATTAGAAGCATTTAATGTATATTTCTTTTTTTGACGTTTATAAGTGTACATTGTGTTACGTGAATAAATGATTTTTGACTTTTTGATAGTGATTTATAATTCAATAGTAACTTATTTTAGTTAAAATAAAAGTAGTGTATGGAAGTTGTGAGCGTCCTCGGGTTTAGTTGCGATCGCCAGTGGCTTTTGCTCGCAAGAGGTCAGCGACACTGTCGCACGGCGCACCTCGCTCCGTGCTTCGCACTCGACATGTCCCTGCCTATTGCCTAGATATTTTATTACGTCACGTGACTTTAAAATACTTCGCCACTGCATGTTTTAAATATTGGTAAAGCTTTTAGTTCGAAGAATGACAGATAATAATTTAATGATATTCAACATTTTTTATTGCGTTAGTATTGATGCATTTTTCGTTATAGGAACATTGATAAAATTGTATTGATCATTATTACATTATGGTTGTTTGGATCATAATAGACGTCTTAAAATAAATTGTTATACACACGTAATTCGATCACAACAGCTGTATGTCGTAGAATGAGTGTTTCGTTGCAATAGCTGTTTACTTTGAGACACGGCCCATCGGATCGCTTTGCCTTATACCGACACGTATAAGTTATAAAGAGGGAAAGAGATATAGGCTCCGTTTGCACATTCAACGCGAAGGGAAATTATAATATGGCGCACTCGGCCTCGCCCCGCCTCAGCAATCCTACAAAACTCCACTGGTTGCTTAGCCGTTCGGTTCCGCAGTTATTTTTACACAACCTTTCGCACCGATCGTCACCGCACTGCATGGGTACACTTATTCAGAATGGACGCCTTTCACTGTAATAGCACATGAAATCATACTCGTAATTTCCGCATCTTGTTATTGTTTACATTTTGAAATATTAAATAAAATTGAACAAGGCGGTAGGTCTGCACACGTCCGCAGCCGCGGAGGCAATGAACGCCGAGCGGGGAAGGAAGGCGGGTGCGGGCGCCGGGCGGCCTGTCATGCGTCAGCTGAGCGTCACGCCGCGACATTGCAAGGTCCGCCCTTACTGCCTCGGCTGACCCACTGCGCCACGATTCTATCGAAAAGCGTTGGCGTTATAATAGTGTTTAATGCTCGCTATAATACTTTATAACATGATCGAAAGACTAAACTCACATTAACGCTAAAATTATCTGCTGACTTCGAACTTTTAGAACGCGATGTTTTCCAATATGTTAATGGCCGTGCGTGGTTCCTCTTTGATGCTTATATGTTGGTACTTTTGATTTACTTCCTCGTAATCTATGTAGGTAGCATTAGAGTGTTTATTTCAATTATTGATTAAAGAATTTCAGCTTTAATAAAAATTTCATTTAAGTCTTGTAAATTTTTTAAAAAGAACAATCAATTGTTCGAGTTGTAAAACTCTACTAGATAGCAGCAAACTAAGTAAAGTGAGAGTAGGTAAGGACTGACAGGCCCTAGAGAATAATCAATATTGCAGGCTCGGGTTCGAATGTCTCGTTGGCATTGCACACTTGCCGAAGTTGCGCTCCCTCTTCACCCTACACCCCTCGTACTAGAAAATTGGGTTAAACAGCACACGGCTCTACCGCACCGGAAGAGGGGATTCGGGCAGAGCTGCGCTTCAACAAATGCGGGACAAAGATGTGACTGAGTATCGATTGTCTTCGTATGCGTTCGCAAAGCACAGTAGAGGGTTTATAAGCGATAATATACCAAGTTACGCCGGTTAAAAGTTATAAAAACGGGAAATATAGATTACGAATACAAAAACAATTTTTTGTCAATAAAAATACACGCCATATTAAACTTCTATTAGATTTTACTAACTGGTTGACCTTTACAAAGAATCGAGAGGGGCTCCTCCCTTTTGGCAGTTAGGTTGGTACTACAGGAGAGCTAAATACGACTGATTCGGTACAATAATTTGTCAAAAAATTACAAATGGCCGAATCTTTATAAGGTATGACGCGGTCTGCAAACTGTGCACACATAAAAGATGTAATATATAAATATGCGCTAACACTGGTTGCCAGCTCGCTAACTTTCCATTTGCCTGACGCTAAGCGTGCTAAAAATAGAGTTACAAATAACTTGTGCGCCGCAAATCATTGTTCGATTCTCATTGTACCACGTGATAACATTCCTTTTATCGAATATTCGTTTTTATTATGCCTGAAGCTCTAAATAGATTTGAATTAATTTAGTAATGACCTTGAAGAAGCCGTAACTGTAACTTCCTTACTAAATACGAAAAAAAGTCGTCTTATATAGAATAAATTAAATTATAGAGAATTACAAACTTTAGTCAAATAATTTGAGTACAAAATGCGATCGATAATGTTTTTCAAGCGTTTCTGATTTTCACGTGTCCCTTATCAGTGGTTACGTAGATACAGTTGTTTGTCTTGCTTTTTATCGTGTATTTCATTGAGTGGGAATACGGTTTGCGGTTTAGGTACATAGAAATAATTACGATGTAGTGTATTTTTAAGTTCAATAGAGTTAAATATTTTTGATGCACGATTGACCGAAATATTTGATATTTAAGACATGTAAACATTTCAATACAAAGTTGCATTAAAACCGATTTTTTAAGGAAGGCTCTTCGCTATTAATGTTTGATTGTGGTTATTGTCGTGTAAAATGTCTTTGTTGGCAAAACCGGATTGCCGTTAGAATAAAGGAATGCCGCAGTTACCTGCTCAGTTTGCAGTGACTAAACCAGTATGTGGATAATCTGTTGGTTAGTGTTTAGACTTGTTTAATTTGGATTTTGCCATACAAGTAAACATACATTTTAAAGGACTATAACATATGTATTTATAATAACTGTGACATTAAAGGCCCATTTTCCAAGGTCATTTATCGTTACCAAAATATTATCAAAGCTTTATTATTAGAAAACGAAATGTGTAATGTTATTTTATACACGTATTGATTGTATTACAATAAGGGGTCGATAAGACATTAACAGATGGGCCGCAATTATAAACTGTGAAAATACCTATGCATTTATTGCATGCCAGTGTCAAGTTTTGAAGGTCATGTTTCTTTTGTGTATAATGTATTTTTATTTGCTATATTATCTAGATAGTTAATATATTATAATTCATCGTACCAAATACAAAAAATATATGTATATATTTGCCTACGTATCATGTCCAGTAAGCAGTTTGTTATGGAACACGAGCGGAGCGCTGATATAAAGTAGGTAGGTACTCGTTTACCGCAGGTCGGTGGCACTCCGCCCCTGCCCGCCACCCGCTGTTGCCACTCCGCACAGTGCCTCGTTTTGGGAACGATCGTCTAAGTGCAGTGTTTCATAGGCGCCTAGTAATCTTCATCGATTATTATAACCTTGTTAAAACGTTATTGTTGTTACCTTGCAATTACAAAGCTAAGCAATAAATAATACATCTATCCCTTTAGATTTGTTTTTACAAGTTTAAAGTTTTTGCAATCTTCGAAATTCTTGCATCGCAATTTGCAAAATTCCAATAGCATCCATCGCGGTCATTGCAACAAGTATGAACTTTGAACATATTAACGAAAGGAAAATCTATTACACTTTAATCGTTGAAGATACCACGTAGTAAAATCATCAGATTAATAAAAGTCGGCCTTGTAAAATGGCGCTTTACTAGACATAATACCTATGACTTATGTGTTTATATCTAATGTTGATTGTTGAACGGTCGGATACGGAGCAAACTTCGTGACGGTCTCCATTCTGAAGTCTGTGCAACGTCCCCTCTCCCCGCCCCGAGCCCACGGATGCGTATCCGATTGTCGCGAGCCGAGTGCCGACTGGCGTTTACAACTTGACAAGTAGCTAGTTTAACATTTACCCGATTATTTTTGTAATTAATCATAAAAAAGTGTTTTAAAATGGACCACATATGTAAAGTCTGACTTGTGAGTAGCTAATAATAAACAAACTTGTCAAATTAACGAGTTATCGTGGATTAATGTGTGCGAATCATATGTATTGACGCCATCTTTCTTTACAGATGTCAGCTGGCTCACAAATTCAAATGGCACCTCAAACTACTGTCAACACGGGCCAGCCAGTACATAATAATCAGGACTCCAATATGAGCACAGGTAATCTGTGATTTAGTGATGAAAAATGAAGTTTTACGTGGTGCTGTGCATGTGGGCAATGATGTTCGTTGTTTATAATCACGGTTTTATCAAATTAAAATATTACTTGTAACTGAGGGACCTATAAGCCCCTAAGGAAAATGGAAAAAGGATTCAACGTCACGGGGCTATTGAATGATGCCGAAATGGAATCGTAAAAGTGCTATATTCTCTGTGAACAATCCATTTCACGATGCATGATCATAAAAATGGGTCAAACTTTATCAAAATTGGTCACACCAACGCTTTTTTCAAAAGTGAGTACTTTGGTGATTTCCTAGTTAAAAGCTTGCATTTTTTGCATTTATTTGCATTTACCTATTATTTACATTTTGATTCAAATGATCAAGTTTAACCATTTCTTTTGATCAAAATGCAAAACGTAACATTTATGTAGTTACTGTGATATTTTAATAATGCATTATATTATTATTTTTTTATAACAATTTTTTAGTTCAGATAATCTATGGCATGATAACATAGCTGCCAATGTGCATAATTATTGAAGTACACGGGAGAATTATGTCACTACTTTCCTTAAAGAAGATGCTGCATAGCAACAAACTTAAATGAATTCATTTAGTATATATTCATATTTAATAAATCTTACATTGTAATACAAGAGTATAACTCAATATGTGTTTGTTAATTTCAGGATCTTCTCATAGTGATAAAGAAGTAGATGCATTAACTCCTGAAAAGTCAGCTGCTATGAGAGGTTCTGCAACTGTACCAGGCAGTGCTTTAGTGCCACCGAGTGGAGCTACACCTACTATAGCAATGCCAGAAAGGAAAAGAAAGCGAAAAGGTAATGGGCATACATTTTGTACAATATTCATTTAACAAGCTGCATTTGACGTCCATGACTCACTGTGTCACATATACACAGCACATTCTACTCAGATCTAGAATTGTATGGAAGTTGTTATACTTGAAAGTATGCATAATAAGATATATAGGTAATGCTCGGTTTACATCCATTAATTTTTCTCTAGAAATTAGGGCCCCTATTTTAAAATTTAAATCTGTTTGTCCAGTTTCGAGAATTAAAATTTTCCCTATGATGTTTACAATTACAAATTAAATATGAAGTAAATACAAGACATACTGTTTTAATATTTAATCAACCTAAAAATACTTTACAAGACTGATGTTTATCTACTAATCAGATTTATTCAAGGTCTGTGCAATACATAGCTTTTATCTTATGGTGTTATGTTAGAAGATTTTTATATATTTACACTTGAATATCCAATCATGCTCTGCATCTTCATACTAAAAATCCATAACATTTCCATGTTCACTAAAACTCTACATATTATGCAAATATTCCAGTGATTTAGGAGACATACACACATACATATGTTACATAGTATTTAGTGATTTTCAGGTGTAAATAGAAAATATAAATAATTCCAGGTGAAGAAGGTGTTGGCGGGGGTGGGGGTGGTGGTAAGCAAAGAAACAATTCGGATAAGAACATTCGTGAATATTTCTCGAAGCACCCATCGTCCAGTCCGGTGCGGCACACCGGGGCGAAGTCACCGTCGCCGCAAAGCGCCAATTATCCTATGGTATGTTCTAGTTAATTAATTTTGATTAACAACCTGACATCGGACTCTACCATGTTCTGAATTATTATGAAATAATTATTCTCAAACAAATTGTATTGATATCTGGCGTTTGTTTTTGGAATAAAGAATCAGAACTTTTCTATTTTATTCAAAATGCTTGTTTTTTATGTCCAAAATTGGACATAATGTAATATATTTTATGTTAGCGTGGAAGAGGAGGTATTCTAAGGATTCAGACACAAAAATATGTCTGTACCTGTAGCCATGAGATATTAGGCTATAAAAGGCTTTTTTATCACAGTACCCACCGTCACCATCATCAATATCATCAATATTGGCTCCGGGAGCTGATTACTTACGTTCCGCCTCGCAACAGCGACCTCACCCTTCTGTTAAACAGGTATAAGAGTGTGAATTATAAAGTACTTACATTCAAAAAATAATTGAAATATGTTAAGAACTAAATTTGATACAAAACCCCTTTTAATTGTTTACTTGAAAGTAAAATGTTGATCTGACTAAACACATTAATTTGTCACAACATAGAGTTTACACAACTGAACTATGACCATATTTATTGGACTTCAAATGCCTCGGTATATAATAAAAAAAATACTTTTGTAAAAGGTAATATTTATTCAAATAATTCACAGATTCAGACAGAAATAACATGTCAGAGGATACAAGAGTTAGAAACTCAGGCTTCGTCTGACTTAGAGCTAAGAAATAATAAAATAGATGAATTAACAAGGAGTAATGAAGAGTTGCAGCTTCAAGTTCAAGCGCAGAATAAGGTGAGTTACATAAGTTTTTAAAAGATTTTTGTGAATTGTTTTCAAAGTGCAAGTGGTAAATGTGCTGTAAAGTTGCTTTTGTAAACTTTATATTTTTTATATGTAAAGTCAAATCTGCTATAACAAGATCGAAGCTTCAGGAAGCTTAATTTATTTTTATATTTAATTTTTTCTACTAACCCCTGAATTGCTGTTTAAAAAATTTTTAATTAATTATTAATACTATTTCTGATTCTTTGGAAACCAATGGGTGATATGGCATATTCCTCGAAAAATAAATTTGACTATTGTTTACTATATTAAATTGATTAACTGAGCTCAAACATTTTCCTTGCAGGCTATCGATCAACATAAATCACATATTAATAAATGTATAGAAGTTGTAAAAAAGTTATTAAATGAAAAGAGTACTATTGAAAAGAAAGAGGCTCGACAGAGATGTATGCAAAACAGATTAAGGCTGGGACAATTTGTGACTCAGCGAGTTGGTGCTACTTTCCAAGAGAACTGGACTGACGGATATGCATTTCAAGAACTAACAAGGTGAGTCTAAATTAACATTAAGTCAAAAACTTACACAGGCCATATCTTTTATTAGTAGCTGTGAAACACATACATCTATGTATTGTATTTCTTCTTTTTATTTATAATTTTTGTGCCACATTAAGGTTGTTTCTGAAGATAAATAAATTGGTAGATACAAAAGGCTCATTCCTTATATGAGTCAATCGTCAGATTTTTTGACTGTTTATTAAAATACTACTTAAACATGATAAAATAATCAATGACGGTTGCGATTTATTTTACGACGTAATTTGATATAATAATGTAATTTAAATATGATTATTGAAAACAGGCGGCAAGAGGAGATTACGGCTGAGAAGGAGGAGATCGATCGGCAGAAGAAGCTGCTGATGAAGAAGAGGCCGTCCAACAGTGAGGGCAGAGGCAAACGCACGTCCAGCGTAGCCGCGCCCACGACGCCCCAGCCCCTGCACAACGGCACCGACCCGCCCACCTTCCTCAAGCCCGACCCTCTGCCCAGTCTCACCTGGCAGGAGTACTACGAGGCCGACGAGATCCTGAAGGTACTTGTCTAAATGCAGTCTCATTCTGGCACTGAATCTTTAATCAATTAGGCCTATATTTTTATTATAATTTAGAAAAATTGTTTTAGTTATGTACTCAATATTACCGTCTAATTTTACAGCTTAGACAAAGTGCTTTGAAAAAGGAAGATGCAGATTTGCAGCTCGAAATGGAAAAATTGGAGAGGGAAAGAAATCTTCACATCAGAGAATTGAAGAGAATACACAATGAAGATCAGAGTAGATTCTCACAACATCCAGTGCTGTCTGATAGGTGAGGAATATCACTATTTCAGTATCTTTTAGCTATTTTACCATTAACTATTAGCAAGCTTTTGGGGCTGTGTACCTCAGCTTGCTTGATACAATCAATGCGCCTAAGATTGAAACTTGTATGTTCATAATATAAAATTACCATATTAATTGTCAAATTTGTTTTTAAAATTCTTAGATTAAGGGATAAGTTTTGAAAATTTAATACTGATATTTTGATATATTATTAGCGGTCTGCATTCCCGCGTAACTGTATCCGCCATTTTGTTACACAATACCATGTCAATTGACTAACTCCATTTAGAGTTGATCATGAAAATCAATTAAAAGTATTTAAGGAAAATAGTTTGTGTAAATAACAAACACATAAATTAATTAATATAAAATAAATAAAATTTTCTGATATTCAATTATTAAATAAAATGTTAATCAACATGTATGCAAGAGTTTTAGAATAATTGACATTGTTAATGTTATTATTGGCACCAGTACACATTAATATTGTGAAGTTTTAGTGGTGCAAAGAAAAATACTTGAAAATGTAACTTTTTCATATCTCATTACATACTATAATATGCAACATTTTGTTACAGATATCTGCTGCTAATGCTGTTGGGCAAGGGTGGTTTTAGTGAGGTCCACAAGGCTTTTGACCTTAGAGAACAGCGCTACACCGCCTGCAAGGTTCACCAGCTCAACAAGGATTGGAAGGAGGACAAGAAGGCCAACTATATCAAGTGAGTCCGTATACACGTGTGCCATTCTGTGTGTTTATATATGGTGTTTTGTAGCTGCTGTATATCGTGTATTTTAGAAATATTGTTTGTCTATTGAAATTGAAATTATTTATTTAACTATTTTTATATATATGCTTTATAGCTTTCATATCATTTATTTAAGAATGCGCCCTCTGAACGGAAACTATAAGGATTCCATACTCCCATAGTATTCTAGCAAGAATAACAATATGTTATATTGTAAATTAAATAATGTTTTCGGGAAATTTAGAGGTTACAATTCATATATATATAAAATTATCATTGAAACACAGTATATATGTATGTACGTTTATTTGCAGACACGCGCTCCGGGAGTACAATATTCATAAGGCCCTTGACCACCCTCGGATCGTGAAGTTGTATGATGTTTTCGAAATTGACGGAAATTCATTTTGTACAGTGCTCGAATATTGCAATGGCCATGATCTTGACTTTTATCTTAAGCAGGTAAGATTTTAATATTAGAAAATGCTTTTGGGGAATGTTCTTTTAGTAAAAGCTTAGTCTCAACCGCAGCAGTACACATGATATTTTGTCCATTAGGATTTTAATGTTGTAAATGCTATGCGATGAATGTACTCAGTAGTCAGTAATTTTTTTATTTGTATTCCCAGCATAAGACAATACCGGAGCGAGAAGCCAGATCAATAGTGATGCAAGTGGTGTCCGCTCTAAAATATCTCAATGAGATAAAGCCTCCGGTGATACATTATGACCTCAAACCAGGAAATATCTTGCTCACTGAGGGAAATGTCTGCGGAGAGATAAAAATCACTGACTTTGGCCTCTCGAAAGTGATGGACGAGGAGAACTATAATCCTGACCATGGAATGGATCTCACCAGCCAAGGGGCTGGTACCTATTGGTGAGAGACTTTTACTTTCTTGTATATTTTCTTCCTTCATTTATTTTAGTTTTTGTAAAGAATTGGTAAATTTTTCTAGAAAAATTGGTAGGTGTTTGTTACTGGTTTCTTTAAAACTGAACACCATCCTTTTGCACAGAAAATTACTTCCAACATGGCATTTGTGGCCTTATGCCATATTGTAGGGTTTTGACATAAATATACTGTTTTCTGAAGAGGTCAATATTTATATTCTACTAGTAGACTCGGCCAAGCGTTGCTCTGGCTAAGATTTTTGTTATATTACATAGTAGTAAACTATTCAAGGGAAACGGTAGGAGAACTTATGTGAAAGGTAGATGACAGCTTATGTGAAACGTTGATAATTTTAACACAGCGCCATTTGTTAGAATTGTATCAAATAATAAACAAATATTTTGCAATAAATTAAAATTGCGACTATAATTTGAGATTTAAACTATCCTATCTCTCAAGTTGGATCGAACTGCACATGGTGTGCAAATTTGATTGATGTCGGTTCGGTAGTTTAGGAGTCCATTGAGGACAAACATTGTGACACGAGATTTATATATATTGAGATTTCGCATTGAATAATTTACATACATTTTAAATAAACATATCATATTTTTAGGTATCTGCCCCCCGAGTGCTTCGTGGTCGGCAAGAATCCGCCAAAGATAAGCAGCAAGGTAGACGTGTGGAGCGTGGGAGTAATCTTCTACCAATGCCTCTACGGGAAGAAGCCGTTTGGACACAACCAAAGCCAGGCGACTATCCTCGAGGAGAACACCATCCTAAAGGCAACGGAAGTGCAGTTTGCCAATAAGCCCACTGTCAGTAATGAGGCTAAGGTGAGAAATCGAGCCCTGAGCTTGTTTTTATTTTACTGTTTGGGTATCAATCGAGCTAATTCTGTTCTAGGTTATTATTAAAAATTATTTTAATATTTGTCAAAGAATAAAACACTATTTTGACCGGATTGAAGTTATGTATTATTATAAATTTACTATTTAACATAATTTTAAATTTATCCGACGTTTCGCGTGCTTTACAGCGTGCGTGGTTACCGTGACCGTGTAAATTTATAATAATACATAACTTCAATCCGGTCAAAATAGTGTTTTATTAAAGAATAAAAGTTATGTTAATCAAAGACAATACTATTTGTCAAAGAATTACTGTAAAGAGTATTTGAGGATTCAACATAACCATGTTATGTTATTTAACTATTTATTTTTTCAAAGTTTAATTCACATTGCTAATTGTTAGTAGCAAAAGACTCTCTTATAATTATTTGATTACAAGGTTTTCTAAAAGTTATTTACCTTTCTCTCGCAGAGCTTCATCCGCGCCTGCCTGGCCTACCGCAAAGAGGAGCGAATCGACGTGTTCGGGCTGGCGCGGCACGAGTACCTCCAGCCTCCCATGCCCAAGCCCCGGGGCGCCCCCGGCAACACCCACGCCCACCAGCCGACCTTCCCGCCCTCCATGTACGCCAGCTCCTCTTCCTAGCCGAAGCACCGCCGCCGCGCCGCCAAGAGATAGGCCCGCAGAGAGACCCTCGCCGCCGTCACTCCGCCCCACGAGGGGGAAGGGAGGCGGCTGAACGTTTCTAAGTGAAAGGTTAATGAAATTACAGTACGAAAGAATACAGTCGCCGGGTCCGCATTCCCGAACGCTGCGTCATCGGAATGCGAGCCTCAGTTTTAATACTTTGATTTTTGAGAATATTTTAATTTTTACACTGTATTTTGTCAACTGTAATTCTTCGGTGATAATACGGTACTGTAACAATAGTTGTTGAGCACCTTGTGCGGGTATACGACGTATACACGGCGGACTGACTGAGTTAAACTTGAGTGGTAGTGAAGTGCTATATTCGCTGACTTGTGAACTTTCGCGTGGACGTCGAAGTGCGAACTGTACATAGAATCTCCCGCGTCCACGAGACTGGTGTCGTTGAGTGAAGTGCTAGGACATTAATGAAGCTGTCAAAAGTGGGAAGTGATATTCTCGGGACTTAGGCCTACGCCCACCGCCCGGCCTCAGTGTGTGTAATCGAAACGGTGACGAAATGAAAAAGATTGAATGTCTTTCCTGTTTTATAATTAAATCGTGTGTCGAATGACCGTTTGGTTCCACACACTGTGACTTCACCTACGGCGGAACTCGGAGATGACTATTTTAAAAATAAAATTGTTTAACATTATGCTTACTGTTGACTGTATTTATTGAGGTGATAAAATGTGATTCTCCATTTCTTGAATGGTGTCATCCTTATCACTAGAGAGGATCCATGGGAATATCCCTTGCATATTATATAAGTTATCCCTATTAAAAAAGTTAAAATATTCATAACGTCTTTTCTTTATAACCCCTGACTATAGTGGCTCACCGAGGACTCGTTACTCGTCGTCTCGACGAACATTTATCTGGTTTTGAACAAAATCTTATTACGTAAATACTTTAGGCGAAGGGCCCTTGTAATATACACCAAGATGCCACAAAATCGCTAACTAAAATGCATCGAAAATACGAACATAGAAAAGATTCTAAATATATTTTTATTTAAAAGAGTTAGAAGATTTAGATTTTTAACAGTTTGAAACTAATATATCTCCATTTAGGAATAGGTAAGTCAGGGATTGGAATTCCAATGTTGTACTTCTACAATAGATTAGTTTAAAAGATTTTTTCGCAAAATCCTATTATACACTAAAAAACTTGTTCTATTCATGTTAATAAATTAAAAACAAAAAAGGCAATTCATTCCTTCGAGCCGGATTTGAACCAGCGACCTATGGATGACAGCGTTATACCTCTACAGTCCACCGCTCTACCAACTGAGCTATCGAAGGTATGTGAGGTATGTCGAAATTACCGTTTTTAATACATTATATGTATGTCATTATACAATGATAAATTTATCTTTTGTTTGTAATTAAAACAAACAAACTGCTAAAGTATATAAATAATATATATTTTGTCATTGAGATAATAATAGTACATAATAAAGTTTATAGGTCTCTTCACGATTGCATTTTACAGGTTTACTACTACAGAAATCCTGTGGAGCTCGCCAAATAAAACTAAGCATGAGTGATTGTGGTTTATTTAAAAAATAATACTTTAAAGTAAGGCCCCAAAGGCCTTACTTTAAAGTATTTATTTTTATTTAAGTTTAAGTATTTATTTTTTGAAATTTACAATCAGCTGTTTTTATTTTTACTGTATTTACTTAAGGAATAATAATGTTTGTTGAGAATAATACACTTTCTTTGTAAATTGTGTCTTAACGGTTTTTGTTAGTTAGAGTGATGGGGTCAAACGTTACTTGGGAATGTTGATTTAAGATAGTTTTTAAGATACACGTTTCTCTTATTGTGAGGACATTGGACAAAGGGCAACCGTTGAATAGCGATATCGGAGACCGGCTCCTACTTTGAGAATATCACTTTGTGCTATTTTTACTTCAATAAGGTGACTTTTGATCCAACCTCCCCATCTATAATGTGTACAATAAATAACTATCGAGTGTATCACGACAAAATAAACCATTTTCAAAAAACGCTGATAATTTATTCGCCTTAGATTCCTGAAGATATAAATCAAAATTCAAATTCAAATTCAAAAATCATTTATTCACGTAGGTAACACAATATGTACACTTGTGATTCGTCATTAAAGAAATACATATTAATGCTTCTAATTTTACATTTACTGCCAGTTCACAAATCAAGGGCGTAGAACGGAAGAGAAGAACTGGCAATAAACTCTCCGCCACTCTTTTTAATCGCCATCAATTTGGGCATCCTGTTGACAAGCGGTTTAGAATATAATGCAATAATGACTTGTTTGCAAAGCAACTATTAATTAATCTAATTTGTATTATAATACTTTATCAAATTGGCATACTGTTATATTCTTTTATCACTGTTTGTACTTTTTACTGTTAGCACTAGCATTTTGGATTTGTTTCTATCTTACTCTCTTTGGGATTTATTAATCTTATGGATCCCGTTTGCATTTAGCACTTAAACTCTCTTAGTACTTTCTTCGCTCAACGCTTTTTCTCTTTCAAAGGCCCTTTCGTACCACTTTCTTACAAACAAAATTTTCACTCTCAATTCAAAACTTTATACATTCACTAACAATGTTAAGCAACGACTTCTAAACCTGTCCTATCCTGAAACCAAAGTATTTTTCTTAAACATTGATATGTCGTCAAATGGAAGAGACTGCCCACGACACAGGGAATCCTAGTGGGGGCTAGTGCACTTTCTCTTTTAACTTAACATCCTTTTTAATTATGCACCATAAAGTTTTTTCTCTTTTCTTTTAAGTTAACCAAGGTTTACTAACGCGTTGCCTAAATGGAACGATTGTTGATTTAGTATTTGTTTTAATATCATTGCATAACTGACACAAGATGATCTGTTGCTGTCGCAACATAATTGCAGTCAAGGACTGCTTAAGGATATTTTCTAAGTCCTATCAATACAATACAATATAATAATAAATACAGTAATAATATTATGAGCAGGTAAAATGCAGTGTGTTGCAAGCATATTAAAATAGTCATTTTCTCGTTTATCGTTACTATGCGGGGATATGTCAATATTAATATCACAACAGAGTATTATATTTCTGTACATATCTAAACTTGTAGCAACGATTCCAATGAGTGACTAGGTGAATATATAGCAATAATACATGTTACTAAGCTAACTTTCAATTGAACTAAAGTCCTTTGATGCAGCTGGGGATCGAACCTATGATCTCAGGGATGAGGTCGCGCTGAAGCCACTACGCCAACACTGCTCTATATTTCTGCGAATACTCCTAATATTTCGATAAAAGAATTATTAACTCACTGTTAAGAAAGATGTGTGGTTCACCTTTTTCCCGAATGAATATTTTTTGATTTACAAATTCCCGAACTAAGTAGAAGAGGGGATTGTCAGACAAGTTTACTTAGTCGGAGATGCATATTGGTGATGAATGTGTAGTATTAGATAATTTTCTAGGCGTTGGTTTTGTTAAATGTTTTTAAAGCCTCCATCACTTTACTCTTTGTAAGTGTGATAGTGAATTTACTAATAAGTCACGTTCAGTTTCTCTTGCTAAAGAAATTCCTATACATTAACCGACCCAAATGTCAGACTGAGCATCGGGGAAATTGCTTCAAATACATTTGAGTAATCATCAACAAATGAACCAATAAACTTGGCAAACAAGTTAAACTCGAAAAAGTAATTTCGTGTGCAAATGAAAGGAGGCAATTGGATCGGCACTTATTTCAGCGTGTTTGTGTTTGATCTTTTAAATATTTTGACCTTGCGTACAGAGTTCGCTGTTTATTTGGTAAATTAGGTGCATAGATAATGGCAGTGCGGTTTGCTGTCCGGAATTCGATTCTAGGATAAAAAAGTTACTGAGTTTTACAGATTAGTTTGATATAAATACAATCGCAGTATCTTTAAAATACTGTTAGTTGCTGTCAAAGGAAACAAGTTTTATATGTCTATGTGAAGTCAAATCAAATCAAAATCAGTTATTCATTTAAGTAACACAATGTACACTTATGAACGTCAAAAAGAAATACATATTAAATGCTTCTAATTTTACATTTACTGCCAGTTCCAAAATCAAGGGCGTGGAACGGAAGAGAAGAACTAATCGCCAAGTTTTTTGTTTAACACAATGTTTGTAAGGAGTTGCAGCCATTAGACCATGTTCCACATGACAGCTTAAATAATAAATAATAATAAAATAAATTAAAAACAAAGATTTGTCCTATATCAGCAGGATGCATTTTGAAATAGAACCGCGCATTTACATTCTCGTGGGAATAAGACGCAAGTACACGTAATAGTAAAAATCGGCCTTATCAATGATATTTCACTTTCGGAGAATTACAATGACAAGTCCAAGCCGGTTTTCTACCCTATAAAACAACACAAAAAGCAACTTATATTTGGAAAATCGATCCTGGGCAGCGAAGAGGATAATTATCAGGCTTTGATGTTCACCGGCCTTGTGGAATGTGGGGACCAGCTGAGACGCGCCGAAGCGTGGCTTCCCTGCCACCCGATCAGTGGAGCAAACTGTGAACTTGACCTTAATTAACGATTTCAATGACCTATATTTAAGCTTTGACAATTCACGGATAATAGGCTGTAATTCATAGGTATTTTTTATTATTTATCAGGAAGTCTATAAAAAACATACGATATTGTGTATATTAAGGATCTGTTTCACAATGTATGGATAAAGTACCAAATAGCTATGCAACACATAAATTATTTGGAAGATAAATTGTGCTATTTGACACTTCATCGGACTCATAACTTATGATGGACTTTATGTGACGAATAGCACTATCTGACAGTCGTGAAACGCAACAATAGTGTTTATCCTACCAATAAGTAATAAATAGCTAATTTGGTACTTATGTAGAACTCATCCGTACATTGTGAAACAGACCCTTAGTATTAAATATGACATACATA